ACATTCTGCAGGACTACCTTTATCCGGACTAGCGTTGATCTCTGTGTATACCTTCCGCTTATAGCAAACGGAACCCAGTTCCAGTATCGATTTTGTTTAATATCCTTGTTTTTATTTTCTTTGGAGAAATCCCTTAAAGCTTCGCTGTGCAAGAACAAAGTATCCTTAAAACGTTTTGAAAACTATCCGGTATGTTTAATAATTGTATAAATATTTATAAATATTTAATGTGTAACACAAGAATAAATTCATTCGAAATTATGCGATATATATGGCTAGGTAACTGGAAGTATCACATGAGGATCGGATTGGATTGCATCCAATTGCATCCCATCCCATCCTCACTCGAACAGCTTCAGCTCGCGGGTGATCTTCTTGATCTTGTTGTCCAGCGTCTTGTCCTCGTGCTCGCAGATGTAGTAGTGCCGCGAGGTGCACTCCTGTCCATAGTACACATAGCTGTGCTTCCCGGCATTATAGCTCAGCCGTAGGCAGCGACCCTTGCCCTCTATTTGGACCGTGTTGTTCAGCACATCCTCGCCGGCCGCCTCCTCTGCCGCCTGCTCCGAACTGTCCACCAGATTGGCGGCCGTAGAGTTCTCCCCCTTCTGGGCCATCGCAATGGATGTGAGATTCATGTTGGGATTCACTGGCTTGGCCGAGTTGGACCAGATCCAGAGGAGGCCAGGGTTGAGACCGCCCAGCCAGTAATCGCGACCACGATGCGCCGGCTGGTTCAGCAGATAGGCCATGATCTCCTCATTCTCCGAGACCTTCTCGAACTCGGCCAGGTGGGAGTTTAGACCCTTGCAGGCGGAGTTGGCCGTCAGGAACTTCAAGCTCCAACTGCAGCAGTGGCCGGAGTGAACTACTCAGCGCAGCCGATTGCCCATCCAAATATTTCCTTTGTGCGACCCACTTTCAGCAAGCCCGTAGATCTGGTCAGCACAACAACGCACCCCGGAGGAGGAGGCGTTCCAGGAACTGGTGGCTTGTCCGAAGCGGAACTGCCCACTCCATCCACCTCGGCAGTGGCCACCCCGATGGCGCCCAGTAGTAGTGTTAGTGCTAGCAGTAGCAGTAGCTACTTGAGTCAACGCCACGGGCACAGCCACGTGCATGTAGGACATCCACAGGCGCCGCCTTCTGCGCTTCCTGTGCGTCTGGAAGCCAACAATCCGTCAAGCGGTTCCGTGTCCAACGGCGGTGCGGAGCTGTGCGACTGCAAGACCGATCCGGATGCCATGTTTCTAATGAGCCTCCTGCCCGACATCCAAAAGCTGAACGGGCGTGATCGCGGCAAGATCAAGATAGCCTTCCAGAACATTCTGCAGGACTACCTTTATCCGGACTAGCGTTGATCTCTGTGTATACCTTCCGCTTATAGCAAACGGAACCCAGTTCCAGTATCGATTTTGTTTAATATCCTTGTTTTTATTTTCTTTGGAGAAATCCCTTAAAGCTTCGCTGTGCAAGAACAAAGTATCCTTAAAACGTTTTGAAAACTATCCGGTATGTTTAATAATTGTATAAATATTTATAAATATTTAATGTGTAACACAAGAATAAATTCATTCGAAATTATGCGATATATATGGCTAGGTAACTGGAAGTATCACATGAGGATCGGATTGGATTGCATCCAATTGCATCCCATCCCATCCTCACTCGAACAGCTTCAGCTCGCGGGTGATCTTCTTGATCTTGTTGTCCAGCGTCTTGTCCTCGTGCTCGCAGATGTAGTAGTGCCGCGAGGTGCACTCCTGTCCATAGTACACATAGCTGTGCTTCCCGGCATTATAGCTCAGCCGTAGGCAGCGACCCTTGCCCTCTATTTGGACCGTGTTGTTCAGCACATCCTCGCCGGCCGCCTCCTCTGCCGCCTGCTCCGAACTGTCCACCAGATTGGCGGCCGTAGAGTTCTCCCCCTTCTGGGCCATCGCAATGGATGTGAGATTCATGTTGGGATTCACTGGCTTGGCCGAGTTGGACCAGATCCAGAGGAGGCCAGGGTTGAGACCGCCCAGCCAGTAATCGCGACCACGATGCGCCGGCTGGTTCAGCAGATAGGCCATGATCTCCTCATTCTCCGAGACCTTCTCGAACTCGGCCAGGTGGGAGTTTAGACCCTTGCAGGCGGAGTTGGCCGTCTTCCAGTTCACCTGCTGCTGGCTGTTGATGTAGTAGCAGTTGTCGCTGATGCGAGTGAAGTTCGCGGGACAGGGATCCTTCACCTCCTTCTGATTGTTCCCGGCCATCAGGTAGTAGATCAGCTGCTCCGAACGCCGCACGCGACTTTCTAGGTAATCTATGGGTGTTGGCTTAGACTTTAATTTGTCCATGAATTTGGAGGTATGACTTCAGACTTACCCACTCGATACACCAGCTTTTCAATGGCTCCCAAGAGATAAAGATCATTTTCGGAGACAGCTCGGAAAGTTGTCGGCTGACCGCCCACAAGATGCTGCTGTTGCGGGTGTTGCTGCTGTATCTGTTGCACTTGCTGCTGCTGCAGCGGCACCGGGCGCACATGCTGCTGGTGCTGGGTAGGATTACCACCACCAACACCAACACCAACACCACCACCAACACCACCACCACCACCGCCACTGCCACCTATGCCAAAGAGTTGCTGCAGGAAACCCGGTTGCTGGCGTTGCTGCAACTGTTGCTGCTGCTGTTGCTGTTGCTGCTGCTGCTGCATCTGTTGGTGCTGCTGGTGCAGCATCTGGTTGGTCATGGGTCGGAACTGGGGATTCACAATGGGACTCTGACTCTCCACGGGCTTTCGCAGATGCGGCTCCAGCTCCACCGCCTCGCCGATCCTCCTGGTGATGTAGATGTTGTTGCCGGGTCGCTTGTAGGCGGATGAGTGATAGCTGAGCGGTCCATTGATGCCCATATCCCCGCCCATATAAGGCAGGTCTTTGGACTTTCGCTGACTGCCACTGCCACTGCTACTGCTGCCTTGGCTGTAAAACGCGTGGGAAGAATTGGATGAATGGTGTTGCCCTAGCCCAGCCTCCTGAAACCCACCTTAAGACGTAATCTTCGAGAAACTGCGACCAAACGGGAGCTGGATCGTCCGCGACTGCGAGTGATTCATTGGCGTATTTTTGCCTAGTTTCACCATCGCTGCCATTGCATAAGAGTGTAATACCTAATGCCAGATAAACAAGGGCCGTAAGCCGGAGTTGTTGACCAGCCGGCGGCATGGTGACACGTAATGTTTACGGATGGGTATATTGCCCCCGCCTCGCAAAGCACTTGGCGATTCAAGTCGCGTGGTTTAGGTGAACACTTTCGATTTCGTTGCGTTTTCCGTGCGGTTTTTGCCGCGTCCGCTTTTCAAAGACGTCCGTTCGCTTGGGTCGAGCTGTAAACCACGACTGAAGCTCTGAGCTTGACTTTGGGCCTGGTCCACTCCGCTCGCTGGGTTCCTCCTCGCCTCGCCTCCCTCCGCACCACTCCAATGCCGTGCCAATGGCAATGGCCCAGACCAGACCAGACGAGACTGAAGACCGAAGACCGAAGACCCATTGTTGTTGCTGCCGGCCGCCGAGAAATGCAAAATTTCACTTTCTCCTTCGCTTGGCTCTGGGCAAATGTAAGTCATTGGGCTTTTCATCGGCATCAGCGCTCCACTCGCCGCTTTTGTGGTCCGACCCACTGTTTGCACTCCATCCGAATTGGCCCAGACTTAGGTAATTGACGCGGCTGTCAATTGAAGCGAAAACTGGTGGCTTAAACTAAAAATGAAATGGAGATGGGTGTGCTGGCTGTGCCATGTTCATTTGGATATTCTCCGATGTGTGAAAAATGACTTTCTGAATTCAGTTAACTAAGAAGTATAAGTTAATCATTTACATTTCAACTTCTACGTAATCCGAAAGATAGCAATTCATAAATTATTCCAAGCCACAACCATTCTATATATTCCTTCTTAGTAGAGATATAAAATTGTATCATATTGCAGAACTCTTTCTAACAAGGCTAAAAACAACTCGAAATGACTCTTTCTTTTTCTTCAAGTTGATGCCAAGCTTTCATGAGGTAAACATATCTGCCATAATGTAAATTATGTAAATGATGACTGCAGCTTTTAGTGGGCACTTAAATACACCACTTAAAGTTTTAATAACTATTTTATGGCGAAGAGAAATGGCCGGTGGCCAGATGGGGGAATTGAATGCGAGTTTAATTTATAAGAAAGGCATTTAGCCAAGAGAGCAGCCCCCATCTCGAACTCGATCACCTCGATTATTGATGGTCATACGGCGAGCTGCCCACATCCACAATTGATCTCTAGAAATCGCCCTGAGGACATCAGCAAAGATACATATACTATGCACATGTGTACAAAAGTATCTGAACTTTCATTATTCATTGCTTTGACAATTAGCGGATGCTAGCGATGTTGCAATGAAGGCCTCGATTTGCGGATCGTGATCCGTCGTCGATGAAGTGGTGACGCACTTCGGACGTGGTTATTTCGGCTCCAGCATCCATGGGGTTTCCCAAGAGTGCGAGAAATCATTGGAAAAAACTGAAGACATCTTTGCATATCCGCCAAATTTGTGGTAAGCTTCAGCGCGTTTCGCTGACGGGCAAAGAAAATCGGGTTTGTTCATCATTGAAAGCAAACATCAAACATATAATTTTTTTTTAGCAAAGTTTTTATAAATTTTTTTATACTTTTTTTGTGGGTGTTTTTTGTTTGTGGTGTAATTGTAAGATATAAACTGAAAGTAAAGCAGGCTTCGTTCTTAAAGTTTTAAATTTTTAGCCCCGTCTCTGTCCTGGGCACTCTCTCTATCTCTCTCGCTCTCATTGCCTGACTGCAAGCGCTTCTTAATATTTTTAAACATTGACTTTAAAAATACAAAATTCGTGTTCTTGTTTGGGGGTGCTTTATACATTCTGCTACTTTTTACTCTAGGTAATTTGACTTTTTATAAAACAAATCCGCGGTGCTACACAATCTATGCTTGTTGCTTTTGTTGCTGTTGTTGATCTGGTTGTTGTTGTTATTTATTTATTATGAAATATATAGATTTATAAAGAATTGCATACACAATGGATGTTGTTCTTGGTATGTACATATCTGCGGCCGCCGATCTTCGTGCTGGCCAAATCAATCTGAGATGTTCGTTTACAATTAGTAGAGTCTCCATCGTCGTCTCCATCTCCATCTTCAGGTTCATCCTCCTCCGCTGCTGCCGCTCGATGTTGGTGTGGATTTGGTATAGATATGGGACTGTTGGCCAACTTAGTAGCCAGCCAACTCGGCGAATGTGGAGTCCATCTCGTCGGCCAGGGACTTGTACCTGTCCTTGTTGATGCCCAACTCGTCTGCGGAGTGCAAATTGTGGATTGAAATGCGTTAGAAGGTGTTCAAAAATATGGTTTTTCAACATTGGAATCGAACGAAAAACACTCAAACTTCACACCACATACGAGTAGGTGTGCCAAGTTTATGGAGCTTTGATTGGGATTAGTGGCGCGCTGTTCTGGCAGGCGTTTCTAGGTTTTTTGGGTTAGTCAGCGGTTCTGTGCGTGGGCTCTTTTTGGGAGGGGGGTGGTAGGTCTATCTATGGGATGCTCTACGGGATCTGGCCATGATCTATCCAACCAATCGTTGCAGCAATCCTTGGCTCGGGCGGAAATGAGAGATTCACTCGACCAAGGCTCGGAACGAAAGCCATTGAGTGATGGACTTGGTCTTTGGACTTTTACTGATGATCGACGAGCAGAGAGAGAGAGAGAGAGACAGAGAGACATAGACTGAGATAGAGTGCTAGGCGAGATGGGTCAAGAGGTCATGCCACATCAACACGGGTAAGAATCTGGCATACAAACAACAATATGTACATTGATAAATTCACCTGTATTAACTACAGTTGCAACTTGGTTTGGCTTGATCTGAACTTATTTTTACAGTGTACTGGCGTAGGGAACTGGTTGTGTGGGTGTGGCCACATTCAAGCGAGACTAAACAGATTATTTACAGTGTATAGAGAAGTGTGGCGTGTTGGGCTGGGTGGTAAATACACTGAAACTGTCGGGGAATCGTTCCAAAAATAGAATATATATATACATATATATAATAAACTGTGTGGGATGTTCGGGATGTACTGAAAGTGTTTTGTCTTCTTTTTTTTTTGAGGGAGGAGGGGATTGGGGGGTTTTGGGGCTCTGTGTGAGTTCTGTTTGTGATTTTTTTTAATATCCAGTAAGTTCGGCAAATGTCTGGTCCAAATCGTCGCAGATTGCTTTGTATTTTTCCTTCTCATTGAAGAGACGGTCTGCAAAAAGCATTTGTTTGTTGTTCATTTATACAAATATATATAGAGATAATCAAAGTGGGCGAGAGCGAGATGTGTGGATGTGGAACGTCAATTAATGAAAGCAGAGTACTAAGTACGATTATTAATAAATATCCTTATGGCGATAAATACAATGCGAGCATTAGTCGAAGCCAGCGATCCGGCCGTTCGTGGCGGACCACTTCCTGTGGACAGCATCTCCGGTGTCCCGTGGAGAGATACCACCTCGGAAAATGGCTGAGTGGTGTGCCACGGGTTGGGCTAGGACTTGGATACATACCCTCTAGCCTGTCGACCTCCTTCTGCAGGCGCTTCACTTGCTTCTCGGCGTGCTCGGCGCGCTGCTCGGCCTCCTTCAACTTGATGGACAGGGTCTTCATCTCGCGCTTGAACTCCTCCACGCGCTGGTTGGCCTTCTCCTCGGACACCTCCAGGGACTTCAGGGAGTTGCCGACAACCTGGTTAGTTGGGAAAATGCAATGAATATCGGTTTGGGAACAGGGGGATTTCTTTTAAATGGTGTCTGAGATCAATGATCGTGCAAGACACTTGAGTTCTCAGTGCAAGACCCACCTTGAGCTCCTCCTCCAGCTCCATGATCTTGGACTCGCCGGAGCGGACACGATCCTCAGCCACCTCCAGCTCGTCTTCAACGAAGGCCAGCTTGCGGGAGACCTCGTCGGACTTGGTATCGGCATCCTCAGCCAGCATGCGGGCCTCCTTCAGCTGGTTGGTCAGCTGGTCCATGCGCTCCTCATCCTGCTGGGAACGGTTCTCCAGCACCTTGCACATGCGGTTGTTCTCATCGGCCGACTGGGTGGCCTCCAGCAGCTTCTGTTGGGCGGTGGTCGAGCGCTCCTCGGACTTCTCCAGATCCTCCTCAATCTGTTGCACCTTGCGGTTCTGGGTGGCCACCTCGGACTCGGTGGAGGTCAGGAGCTTCTCCTTCTCCTCCAGCTCGGTGTTGGCCTTCTCCAGCTGCTCCTTGGCGGTGACCAGATCGATCTCCACCTGGACGAACTTCTTCTCCAGATCGCGCACCTCCTCGTTCAGTTTGTCGGCGCGGGAGTTGGCATCCTTGGCTTGGTTCTCGCAGGTGTCGGCCTTGTCGATGGCATTATCCTTCTCAAGCTTCATCGCTTGCATCTTCTTCTTGATGGCGTCCATGGTGTTTGTGTTTTTGTTTTTGACTTACAAGGAAAGAAAACTGGAAAAAGCACTGTGCCAAAAGTTACAAATGAGTATGCTGAATCACTGAATCCTTTGTCACCAATTTTCTTAGGTTTTCACAATGCAAAGTGCTCTTCCGAAGCGATAAGACAATTTTTCGTAAAGCGTATATTGTTATATTATAAATAGTGTAATGTGTTATCATCAGTAGTATAGGAAATCATCATTGTCTAAGTATGGCTACTTAATTCTAATCTAATCGTAGTTTTCTATCGTTTAATTTTTCTAGGAAAACTATATTTTATCAAAGCTTCTTTTAACCCACAAGTTTCAAAAGAACAGTAAGTACATTCCAATTAAGTATTAAAGATCTTTTGAACTTGGAACTTTCTTCTGTCTATACATTTGTTTTTTTCTTTCCTGTGAGTTTCCGAAATTTTATGTTTCCGCTGCAAGACAAAATCGGTTTATCCTAAACGATCCAGCGCATTCTATATGTTAGCTATAGGTATAATTAAATATATGTACATATACCCTGCGCATATGTGTTCGTGCAATAAATTTGAAAATTAAATGTAAACACATTTTGTTTGGCTACGCCGAGCATTCAAAAGATCTCACGTAATTTTCCTCCTCCATTTTCAAAACGCCCACTCAGAATCCGAATCCGAATCCGGATCCGTCGGTGAGCTATATGTTTATTTGCTGCACGATTCGGTGGGGTTAAAAATAAACTTTATATGCTTTTGCATGTGAGAAAAAATATCCAGTCCACTCGCACACACGCATGGGAGAAATGCTTTTTTGGACATTGTGTGCTAAATGTAATTCTAGAGTTTCCCCCTATTATTTCGAAACACCGCGCACATATAGCTCGCCACCGATTGCAATTTGAAAAGTATTCAATTCTTTGGGGTCACTTGGTGCGTGGGCGTATTCGTATTCGTATTCTGTTCGAATTCGAATTCGTGTATCTATGTTGATTCCACCCAAAGTGGGGCAAAGTCATTTATGTTGTAGTTGCCGATCTTTTGGAGGTCTTTCGATGCGCATGTGTGTTTTGCTCCTAAAATTTTCTGGATATGGGCAAAGTTAAAAAGGTGATTTACGGGGTATAAAGCATTTCTACTATGAAGATTTTTAATATCTTATAATATGTAGAAAAGCTATGTTCTTAGCACATCATAAGATTTGTTGGCGCTTGCCAAAAGTACTTAGACTTTCAATCAGTTTGAATATGTATCTTAAAGATGGCAAACTTTGTGGCCTTCGGAATCATTCACGAATGGCAAGAAATACGTGTTCTAATATCCCCAATTTTGTGTGGGTGGCTATGCCATGCATATATGTATTCCCACATAGATACGATATGTATCCACACATCTGGGAATTGTCTACGTCTCTAATATTTCAAATATTCCAAAATATCTCTCTCGAAAACAATCTCAAGGATAAATACCTACAGTTCTCGACCGCCTTCGTTTTCTGAGATCACGGAAAGCTAGACGGAAAAGCTTTTTCGTATAAGTTTCAGGCAGAGTTAAAAATAAATGCGTGTGTGTGTGTGACAGGCAGGTGTCTGTCTGCAGTTAATTTTAAAGAATTTTCCTCGAGAAAAACTTTATCGGCCGAGTGTATGTGTGTGTGAAAATTGTGCGTGCCATAGGTGTGTAAAGTGCATATGTATATGTGTCCCATTCGTGTGGAGCTTTCCGAATGAAACTCATGAGTGTGTGTGCAAAAAAATTTTTCTCTCACACACACACAGATATTCTTTGGATGGTATTGGTGCCGTCAGATTTAGTTACAAAATTCCTTATAAGCGAATTTTTAAAATGTCCGAAAAATGATCATAAGATCTCCATTTTCAAGTAGTTAGGATCGTTTTATAAAATTTTTTTTTGAAGATATTCGATTTTATAGCTATAGCATTTTTCACTTTTTTTAAGTTTGCATCACTCGTTCAACTTTTTGTAGAATTTTATATCCAGGCTAATCGACACATATACATATGCACATATTATTTAAGTTTAACAAGGTTTTCCTTATTTTTTGGTTTGGTGAAAATTCAAAATGTATCATTTTGAATGCCATGCACTTTTCACAATTTTTTTATCCACTCGAGAACAGTTGAAAATACCAATTTGGTTAGCAGCAAGGCGAGCGATTTAATTATATTTCTTTTGAGTTAATTCTTCTTGTCGGGTGAAAATCCTGGCGTGACCAACCTTAGCGTTTCAAACACACTATACGCTGTCGAAACCCCGAGAACACTGATGCTGACCAAGTTGCTTAGCCCAGAAAGCGACCCCAAGATCCAACGCACACGCACACTGCCACTGGCACTCGGGAAATCGGAAAATCGGAAAAACTCACACACACACATGGGGCACACACCAACGCGGTATTGAATAATTTCTCGCCTCAAAAATTTCCCATTAATAAATGTATATACATCTATATATATATGTGGAAAAGCACTTTCGCAACTTTGCTCGGCGATCTCGAAAATTTCCCTCGAAATTTCCCCAAAAGCTGCTTCGCTCGATTCTCTCTTTAGATGCATTCTCGTGAAATTTATGCGCTTTTCTTTTTGCTTCTTAAATCTAAATTCAATTTATTTTTTGCTCACAGAACTCTTGCTGGCTATGTGTGTGTGTGTGTATCCGTCAGATACACGGCCAAAAATAGCCACAAGCAGCAAGAGCAAAAGTCCAACAAGATGAAAATCTATTTTCGCTCGGTAAAAAATATTGAGAAATATTTGGAATTTTGATCGGCCAGCGTTTTCCTGCCGTTCTTTCGCTTTCGAAAGTCTAGAATGCAAGGCAATTGATCCGATTTGTTTTGTGTTAATTGTGCCCGTCAGTGGACTTGCTAGTAGCAAACTTTTTATTAGTATAACTCAAGACTTTAATCTGTAGTTTATCGTTTTATTTTTCATCATCCAGTTAAATGAGTTGGATAATTGGTTTTAAGACTCCAAACAGTGCATTTCTATATATATCCATTCAGCTATTTAACTTAAAATCCAGTTCCAGTTTCTTATTCGCCTTTCAACTTTTTTGTGACGTAACATTTCCTTTAAAGGTTTAAATATTAATATAAGTCAAGAAGCTTATACAAAATTTCCTTCAGTCTCTGCATTAGAAAGACTATCATTTGTGATTTTTAAGTAATTTTAATAATCATACTACAACATCATATATTTCCTAATTATTGTATAGCTCTTTTAAAATCTTAACGAGGCCTCGATCGGAAAAATCAAATTTGAGAGCTGGAATTGTTTTAGTTTGTATTAATGCCTATGACGGGTATAATCTTCATGTTATTTCGATTTAAAAAACAAGATAGAATGCTATAGTCGGGAATGCTATATCCCCGACTATCAGATACCCGTTACTCAGCTAGTGGAAGTGCAAACGAAAAATGTTAGCATTTTCTGGAATATCGGTAGAAATTGGGGAAAAGTTTGTGGGCGTTAGAGTGGGCGTGGCAACATTTGGACACAAACTTGCGCTGCGTCTATGTCTCTGGAAGCTGAGATCGAGGCGCTCATACGGACAGACGGACGGACATGGCCGCATCGACTACATACTTTTCAACGAATCTAGTCTAGTTACTCTACGAGTAACGGGAATCACAAAAAAAAATATATTAAACAAATTTTCTAAATTTGTATGCATATTTTTAGAGAATTACGCCAGAAACATTTAGAGGTTTGCCACTTCAAAATCTGATCAAGATAAGTTGAGTTATGGAGTTTAAAACTTCAGCCTTGTAGCATTTCCTAATTTTTTCGAATTTCTACATTATTATAACATCAAAAAAATTACAAAAAAAATTAAAAAAAATGAATTTCTAAATCTAGATGCACGTATTTAGAGAATTGCGCCAGAAACATTTAGAGGTATGCCACTTCAAAATCCGATCAAAATAAGTTGCGTTATGGAGCTTAGAACTTAAGCCTTGGGAGATTTCTTACATTTTTTTAGTTTCTACAACATCAGAACATCAAAAAAATTTAAAAAAATGAACTTTTAAATTTGAATGCAGATTTTTAGAGAATTGCACCAGAAACATATAGAGCTATGCCACTTCAAAATCCGATTAAGACAAGTTGAGTTTTATATGCAAATGATTTCAGTTTATTGATCGTAAAAATATTGAGTGGTAAATAAAAATACATACATTGTTATATTTGTTTTGCACGCTTCATAGAATTACAAAAGCTATGTCAAATGTGTAAATTTAATTTATACGTCGTCGTTAATATATTCTATTAATATACCTCTTTTTCTTGTTCTTTAATCATATACAAAGGCCATAGAAATTTTGTAGATACACTTCGCAAACTGCCGTAAAACACAAGCTACAGAAATTTGAAGGAAATTGACTCTGGCTTAAGCGATACTGAGATTTTTTTTTAAAAAGATAGTGATTAACGATATTGAGTGGTGGGCTTTCTGGGGTTTTGTATTTTAAATATTACACATACTTTTTCGAGCTGGAATGTGGTTTCAAGGAAAATGGCAGCGTTTTTTGCGTTATACAACTCTTTTTAACTTTAGGCTCCATATAAATTGTATTAGTTATTGCTAAAAATTTACTTTATTGTAACACTCTCGCGCTTATGTAAGAAAGTTGGTTTTGGAATGCTTAGGCGAAGAAGTGTAATGCTAAAAATAATTTGTAAATCGGACGTCCAATGCCTTCGGACTCCAATTGCTCTTCATTTTCTTAGTTGTTCCGGCTGTAGTTGCTGATCTCCTCCTCATGAAGTGAGTGGGCCTCATTCCCCCTAGTAGTTGTTCAGATCGGCGTACTCCAGTTCCTGGGCGATGGTTTTGTACTTTTCCTTACCTTTGCTCACCTCGTCTGCAGCAGGTGGAATAGATAAACGAACGGAATAAATATGGCACGATTATAGGGAATTTGATTTTCAGTTGGCTGCTTTATTGCTTAGTTTGGATACAAATAATAAATAAAAACGTTTGAGTCAAACAAATACACAATTGTTTCAACGCTTCCTCCAATTGGTCCGCAGTCAAAATCAATCTACAAGCTACTCATCTACGAACACACAAATCAAAAGTGGAGGCTACTATGAAGATACGAGTACAGTGCGCCTACAATTATGCTACAGTAAAAACAATCGAAAGGTGTGCCGCCACAACAAGTAGTGGGTGTGCGGATCGATTTTGGTGTGGGTGCGAGGGGCCGTCAAGGTCGGGTCGCTTATTCCTTGAGGATGAGCTCGACGAAGGCGGTGTCGAGATCGTCTCCAATGTCCTTGTAGCGCTCCTTCTCCAGGACCAGGTCGTCTGTTCGAGTTGGTGTGTGGAAAATCATAAAAGAACGCAAGAGTAAGGAACAGAAATTAATAAAAAACGCATAAGAAATCATTAGAATTACACTTAAGACCTCACACAAACTAAGACCTTCACACGAAAACTTATAATCTGGACAATAACTGATAATAGTTACCTCTGTTCGAACAAAATAAATAAAAAGCCAGCGGTTGAGTTCGCAAAATCGGCGAGTTGTGCTAGCTGTTTGGTTAAAGTAAATGAAAAAGGTAGCAAAAACAGAAAATAAAAGCAGCATTTCGTTTTTATAATGCTTTGGCTAACTGAATGTTTAATTCAATTTCGTTTGGCGTTATTTCAAAAATAAAAAAACGTGCTCTAAACTAGGTTTTTAAAAGCAGGGCAGCATGTGGTAGCAGTGGTTTTCTCTTTCGGTGAAGTGCAACAGCGATTTCTGGCGCGGATGTGGCGAGCAGGTCTTAAGCCGGAGGTGCCTCGCCTTCGGCAGCAGCGGGAGCCGCTTCTGCGGGCGCGGCTTCAGCTGGAGGAGCTTCGGCGGCGGGGGCTTCGGCAGCAGGAGCTTCAGCTGGAGCAGCCTCGGCAGCTGGAGCTGCTGCATCAGCTGGAGCTGCGGCAGCCTCAGCTGGTGGAGCAGCACCCTCAGCAGGAGGAGCAGCACCCTCAGCTGGCGGAGCAGCGCCTTCAGCGGGTGGAGCAGAACCTTCAGCTGGCGGAGCAGCACCCTCAGCCGGAGGAGCAGCACCCTCTGCCGCCGGAGCAGCCTCTCCTTCAGCGGCTGGCACTGGCTCTGGCTCGGATCCGGGTGGTGGTGGCTCGTAGTTCTTGACGTAGGGCACCTCGGCACCCTCTGGGGGCAAATCGATCGAGTACTCGAATGGCGGTGGTGGTGGTGGTGGAGGAGTGGGCTCCTTCGGCGGAGTGGGTTCCTTTTCCGGCGCCTTTTCCTCTCCGGGTGCAGCGGGCGCACCCTCTGCCCCGGGTTCGCCTGCAGCGGCTGCTGCTTCTGCGGCTTCCGCTTCTGCAGCTGCGGCGGCTTCGGCTGCCGCTCGTGCCTCCTCCATGGCGGCCAGTTCTTCTGGCGTGGGCGTCGGGAGCTTGGGAGTCGGCGGCTTGGGGTTGCGCGGATTCCAGAACGGCTCCAGACCCTTAATGAGGTCCACGAAGGCCTCGTCCAAGCTGTCGCCAATCATGCAATAGCGCTCTTTTTCAACGATTAGGTCGTCTGGTTATGGCGATCAGTATCGGAATGCGAAGATGTTTGTGAGAAAGGCAAGACAAGCGATGGTGACGGGTATAGAGAGTATAGAGAGAAATCAAATAAAAAGTGAAACGGAATAGAAGCGTAAATTGAAAAGTAAACTGAATAATCTTGGGTGGGAAACAGTCGGATTTGATGGCGGGAAGGAGGAGCAGGCGAAAGGGCTCACAATCCGCGAAACACCAAAATTACATTCCCATGGAAGAACACTTCAAATTATATACATTGCAGCTTATTTACATTTTCGGATTATCAATTATTATTTTGGGAGCTTAGGGACTTGAATAGTTAGTGAGAAGGAAAACACTTTGGCCAGTTCTTGAACGCCGAGATCCTCCTAGAGATCCTTTCATCTATTTTCACTGATCGCAATAAAACATGTTCGGGGTTTCTAAGCAGGAGGGGCTTCAGCGGCGGGAGCGGCTTCGGCAGGTGGTGCTGCTGGGGCTTCGCCCTCGGCTGGTGCCGGAGCAGCTGCAGGTGCTGCCTCTCCCTCAGCCGGCGGTGGTGGTGGCGGTGCGGCGGCGGCTTCCCCTTCTGCAGCCGGTGCTGGTGGAGCAGCTTCACCCTCAGCAGGCGCAGCTGCAGGTGCTCCTTCTGCCGGTGGGGCTCCTTCTGCAGCTGGTGCTCCCTCGGCTGGTGGGGCTCCTTCCGCTGGTGGGGCTCCCTCAGCTGGTGGTGCTTCTGCGGGCGGAGCAAAGTCCCCAGGCTCCGCGTTCCTGACGTACGGCACCTCAGCACCCTCTGGGGGCAGATCGATGGAGTACTCGAATGGTGGTGGTGGTGGTGGCGTGGGGATCCTTTCGGGTTCGGCCGGTGGTGCCTCAACGCCGGGCTCAGTTGCCGCACCAGGCTCACCGGGAGCAGCGCCCTCCCCTGGTGCACCACCCTCCCCAGCCTCTGCGGCTGCCTCCTCGCCGAGGGCGGCCAGCTCCTCGGCCCTAGCCTTCGCCTCAGCCGCGGCAATAGCAGCGGCCTCCAGGGCGGCCTTTTCCTCCTCGGTGAGCTCCGGGGTGGGTGGCTTCGGATAGCGCTCGTTGTAGAATGGCGGCATGCCCATCATCTCCACGAAGGTCCAGTCCAGCTGGTCGCCGACGAGGGCATAGTGCTCGATCTCTTTGATCATCTCGTCTGGCGTGGCGGATGGGTGTGGTGGTTTCGTGGTTTTTTGGTGGTGGTTCAAGGGGTTAGAAAGTCGGATTAGAGCAGATTCGAGAGAGAGCAGGGCGATAGAACCTTCAGTGGTGGCCAAATGTGGGTGGGGCACACAGAGTCGGGGCAAACACTAAACGCTGGACGATCGATGGGCGGGCGGGTCATACGTTTGTCGAAAAATACTTTATTTGTGCAATTGCAGCAGCATGGTATGTATTGTATAGTATATGTATTGTATAGGTATATATTAAAGTATAAATAATTAATTTATGTAAATCGTAAATAGATCAAATTAGAATTTTTAATGCCATTTCTTGTTGCAGCATTCTTCTTATCTTCATTTGGGTGTCACGGTATTCAGAATCAGAAGATTTTGTAGTTAGTGTGTGGAAATTGGTTTTTGTTTTATTTTTTTTTTTTTTTTAATAAAATTTATCTGAACCGGTGGACGATTCGCAATTGGAATGATGTGCGCTAGCTAAAATTGTCTTTTTGTTGTGGAATTGAAAACTCTATCGAAAGAGTGGTTATAGTTTGTGGGGTGGTAGGCGTGGCGGCAACTTAAAAGTAGGCAAATATTACACAACGTTTTGCAAACACGACAATTTGTTTAAATATGTATAAACAAGGTAAACATTAGCATATTATTAATACAGTTAAGCTGGCGACAAAATACAAAGTTTTAGCGTAGAATTTACTCTTTAAATATAAATAACAGCGATTGTTTGTCTCTCTATTCAATACACGTAAACTAAAAAGAAGGCGGCAATGCGTGTGTTGTCCAAGTTGTCATCTCGTCAAATACAAAAGTACAAGTACAAATACAAGTACATGTATAATTTAAGGTTTAAATTAAAACAAAACAAGGTAGGGGTAGCAAAACCAGGCGTAAAATCAATCGAAAAAATATTAAATTTTGATTCAACGAAAGAATATTGCAACAGTATTGTAAAATGGCGCTAGCTGCCAGTCAACCGTTCGAATTTTGCGAAGTGCTATCGAAAGTATCGAAAGGATATCGAAGTAATCGAAAATATCGAAATGGAATCGAATCGTGAATTGGAATGCGCTTGTGCTACGAGAATGTTTTGCTTTAGTTTCTGCCCTTCCATCTGCTTCATTCATTGAGTTTATGTTTATGTTTAGAGTGTGTTTAACGCTATTTTTGATTAACTCTCCCGTTGCTTGGCGTTCGAAGATGGCTTTCGCATCCGCATGGAAGACACTTCTGTCGGCGTCCTTGGATCTTGTCTCGTATGGGTGGTGGGCGTGGCGTGGCGTGGGCGGTGTGGAGTGGAGTCGAGATATGTTCTCTAGTATTTAGATATGGAAAGCGCCAGTTTTGTGTGCGTGGGTGTTTTTTGTTTGACGTCAAAGCAGGCAGTTTAGTTAATTTACATAAGCAAATTAGTTGTTTACATGTTCTGTATGTCATGTAAGGTGGCCTCCATTTCCTCCTGCAGCAGTTTGTTCTTGCCCCGCACGTTGAGCAGGTCATCTGGATTCGATTTTTGGTCAGTTTTTTGCAGTCGTGGCAGGGCGGGGCGGGGCAGGTCATGCAACAAGTGGTTTAGCAAGCAGCGCAAGTTGTATTTTGTTAAGCACAATAACAATAACAACAAAATTATATATGAAAAGTAAACAAATTGGAAAATCAAATTATAAAGTGTTGCATTATAAAAAAATAATAATTACAAAATCGAGGTACATAAAAAGTTCACTAGATCACAATCGGTACTGGATTTGGAGTAAGGAAAGTAATTTTGAACCTACTTATAGTACTATAAATCATAATAAACAACAATAAAATAAAACTTTCATATTGTACTTTAATTTAAAATACTGCTACACATAGTTGAATATTTTCAAGTTTCTCAGCTATTTTCAAGTTTCTCCTACATTCTCAGTAAAATTTGTATAAAATCTTTGACGGACATACCTTCGAGCCTGTCGACTTCCTTCTGCAACTTCTGAACGGAGCGTTCAGCGAACTCAGCACGAGCCTCAGCCTTTTGATTGATTGAAGAGGGAAAGAGGTGAAGAGTTGAGTTAGTTAAATGATCAATATTCAGTGGAGGGAAAGCTACAAAAAGTGGCTACAAATGCAGGCCAGAGTTGAAGAAGTCAAATGCAACGAACTTCATCTCTTGCCCGACTGCAAAACATAAATTCTGAATGGGAAAGCTTCACTTTCCACAACTCATTCAGAACATAGGTTCAATCAATATTTCACTAGCCAAGAAGCTTCCCAAATATGCTACCAAAACCAGCAGTAAAACGTATTAAATAAATGGAACGTGACAAATGAACATTAGTCAGTAACCAAATGCGAAATGAAACTAGTTAATAAATGTGTATATGATACGGATTAACGAAACATTCAACCGAACAACTTAGAACTATATCGTTTTTGTTTGATTAAACTATAATGCTTACAAACTGCTGACGCTTGTGTACTTGGGGCTTTTAGACAAATCCTAAATCAGACAAATTAAATGTCGTTAGGGGAATGATAAGAGCAACGATTACTGGTGGAGGCTACGCAGTCACTGCATATAAAACAGAAAATGCTGTTAAGATCGCAATTCGACGGAATCTATAATCTCTATAAATCTATAATCTCTATAAAAACGCCAACGCATTTCTGCGGCGACTTACAGCTTCTACATTTAATTTGAACTGTATGAGCTCCTGTTCGTAATATTTCTGATTGGCGCGTGCCTAGACGTCGAGGAAAATACAACAAATTATAGTTTAAGACAATAGATCAAGATCAAGTTCACGTACATTGGGTTGCTGTGCGTGTGTGTGTGTGTGTGTGTGCGTGTTGCTGCAAGGGTGTGAGTTTTTGAGGATCTTAGGTAAAATATCTACCGAAATAAATGTCTCATTGAATTAATTTCGATCGTCTACATAGCGATAATTAATTCGATTGCCGCTAATCAGGCAGTAGCTTTAGGAGTGGTTTCTAATTTGTAATTGTAGTAATTGAAAATTCTTCGTTTTCTATGGGTTTAACTATGGTTTTTCCCACTTGCAGTCAATGCACAAAAAGTTGTTTTCAATTTTGAACAAATGTACACACACACGTCTTATGCGGGAGATTGGTTCACAGATACTTGCCCATGATGTACGCGATCTATAGCGATCTATATCGATCTATGTCAATCTATTGATCTTAAACTCATAACTTGCGCAATTCGGTTTCATTTGCTGTATTTTCACAAAGCGTTTGTTGTATTTGTCACATAAAAGAAAATATTAAATGTCGAATTGACGAATATGTACAGTAAATTTAAAATTGAGAATAACGATTTGTGCAATTCAATATTTTCTTTTTTGTTTTAATTTTAGTGCTTAGACTAAGGTTAGTAAGTAGGTAAGCTTAGTGGAATTTGCATAATTAATTTACATAACCAACACCAGAGATTCTTTTCACCGAGACCATATACAGTACTTATCAAAAAGTTCGACACTGTCGTAATACCTCTTTCAGGGAATGATCCAATACTTTGATTTGCGTCTCAAAGGTTTCCTCTTTTTGTGTGGCCTATGAGTTTCAGTTTTTGGTGTTCGGTGTTTTGGCAAGCGGTTGGGTATTGTGTTATAGGCATATTTTATAGAACATAAATTAAGTTTTCATGCAAAAACAAATCAGTTTGTAGGTGGCAAACATCCAGCAGGTGCGCAAATTAGCGTTGGGTAATTGGCGTTTTTTAGCGGCAACATTTAAACAAGTATATGGAAAAAGAACAGAAAATAGAAATTAGTAAAAATAACAAAGGAGTATTTCGCTTGATCTGTAAACGAATTTCATGTCGGTAGACATTTTCAAGGAATTAGTACGAATACAATTGAAGTATTATTCCCTTCTTTGCAAGGGGAATTGCATCGAATACACCTTCTCATTCATCGCCATTAGGTTAAACAAACAAAATGAAGAACAACAACAAAAGATAGCGTATATTCGCTGGTTTGGACACTCGGTTCGCATGGATTTCGGGCTGGGAAGCTCCCTTTGCTTTGGGCCACTTTTTGGTGCCAAGATGGGCGTTTTTGTATCGTATCTAGTATCTACCTCCTTTAGACGGGTGTTGAGGGTCTTGATCTGGTTCTTGTACTCCTCCTCACGTTGGTTGGCCTACATTAATATCGTTGTTGTTTGTTCATTTCGTGGGCAATTTGTTTGGGGGCGTGGAGGTTGGGGAGTTGGGGGTATATTCAATTGAAATATTTAAGAATGGTTTGTTTAAATCGTTTGGCAAATACAACTCCAATGGAGCAATGGGTAGGTTAGTCAACCTTTGGATATACTGACCTTCTCCTCAGAGACTTCCAGGGACTTCAGGTTGTTGCCAACCACGCGCAGCTCCTCCTCAAGCTCCACAATTTTGCTGTTGACACGCAGGAAAGATGGCACAGAAAAAGGTTGATAATTAAATAGTTGCTCCATAGTTCGGTTGGGATAGATATGAAGAAGAATAGCACAACTCATGCAATTGTTAAATATAAAGGTTTCTTTCAAGCGCAATTTATGCCCGAGCAATGCCAAAAAAACACAAGACGGTTGACCAACTCCAAGCTGACAGCACTTCACTTTCGAAAAAGATCTTGCCGATGGAGGCGATGAGTTAAGTTGACTTGGTCGCGTCGAGTTGACTTGGCCAAGATGGCCAAGAGACGAGAAACCGTCAAATCATGATGCGAAGGTCTGGCAAATATTTTTCTAATAATAATAACAATTGTTTTTGGACCAGCGCAACTCGAACGATTTCACTTTTTTCACTTTTCCGTTGCCGTGGCTATATTAATGCGGCTATTTATATCTATGGAAATTAAAAATAAATATTTGAGCATCTCGGGCTTAAATTGCGCGCAAAAACAGAAACAAACGTGGCTTATATTCAACCAAATGCAGTTAGTAGACAGTAGAAAGACAGCGAAGAATATATTTGAGGCAGATGTGGGGGCTTGGCAGTGTGGACAAACCTTTCGCTGAGCTCGACCTTCTCCTCGGAACGCTCCAGATCCTGTTCCATGAGCACCAGTTTTCTGGCCACCTTTTTGGCGCAGGGCGGCAGGGCGGCATGGCGGGGGCGTGGCATAGCGGGGGCGTGGCAAGGTGTTAGCATTGTGTTAAGTACACACATTTTGGTTTGGGTTGGTTTTGTATTGGTTTGGCATGGGTTACGGAGGGCATAGAAAAAACGGTTTTCGAGATTAGTTTCGTGTCTGGCCAAAAGCAGCGTATGGCAAAAAATGTGAATACTGTGCTGGTTTCATTCATGATACATGGCCACAGAGAGCAGTTGGGCTAAGGAGCTGAAAGTTCTCTGTCATTCCACGTTCTCCAATCTTGGGGAGCGGTTTATGAAGCGCATTGACCTGCAACTTCAGGTCATTGCAGCTCATTTCCTCAATTCACCTCAAGTGGAGTTCACTGCGCTTTGCAGCAGAACTCTGGCGTTTTAGACCCAGTGAAACTGAGTGGAAATTTTCAGAGACTTTCAAACTTCTCGCCTGAACTGCTCCATGTTTGTGCTTTTGATTGATCTAAACTATTTGAGGTATAGCATGCTTTATGTCATACAAAACATTGGGATATTCACATTTTTAACCAAACATTGTAAACATATAGGCAAAAGCTAGCTAGCTAGAAAAACAAGAACAAAATCAAATTTCAAACTCAACAGGGGGAAATGCAAAAATATAAGATTCACTTTGTTGGTTTAGATGAGGTTAGGTTGTGGCGGCAGTTTCAACATTGTTTTCGTTATTAGGCACATAAAGACTTTAACTCGAACAATATGTATTTAAATCTGGACTTATAACGTACTTTTCACCCTGTTCGGCACGCTCTTCGGCACGTTCCAAATCGGCTTCAACCATGGCCAATTTACGGGCAACCTTTTCTCATATAATATTACACATGGATTCATTGGTTCATTGTTGATTGATTGGTATAGTACAAGGAACGTCGGGTGTACGGGAGAACATATAGAAAATGTATTTAATTTCATGGTTTTTACAAAGGTTTCGTTTAGTAAGTGAAACAGAAAATCTTTGGATGTAGTATTTATTATATTTTAATGGTATTATAAATGGTTTGGTATGGTCTTTTGTGTGGTGGAGTTGCATATTTTAGTATAAACAAAACAATATGTGTAGCCTATTGTTATTGTGTTGCTTTCAGTTGTTTATCCCTTAAAACTTGTGCTTGACGAGTGGCTCTTCCATATCCATACTTTTATTTATTGTACTCAAGCTGTTTGTGCAGCATAACATATTGCTTGGGAGTTCTTACAATATTTGCAACTTTCAAATTTGTTGTACATTTCCCGGAAACCAAAGACCCTATTTCGCAGAGTATACCCATAAAATCTCTAAACAATTAAATATAAACCCATCTCAGCTAAAGGAAGTTACTCTCGGTAAAAAACATTAAAAATTTAACAATACCATATAGAAATCTTGAGATGAACCATTCCACTGATTGCCTTTTTCCTATTATAACATAATCATAATCTGCACCCAGAAACCTGTAAACTATTCTGGCCAAAAATGCGGAAATGTCTTGACCCATTTAGGGGCAAAGCCTATAAACTTTAATGGCCTTGTTAGCCAAAACTGATTTTAATTTCCTCCTCATGCCGATATGTTCCGGTGTGCTTAAAAGATCCCAGTGATTCACGAAGCCAATGCACCAAGACTGAAGTCAAGTCAGGTCTTTTAACTGGAAGCGTGGTTGCTCCACGCACATTCCTGGACACTGACTCACGACACTTTCCAATGGCCTACGTCTGAGGGTCAAGTGATCCCCTCTCGCACAATGCATCATCGATCGTTTTGGCCTGGGTTTTTAGGCACTTATGTCATGGCCCACCGACCGATGAGCTCCATGAGCATGGGCGTGCGAAATCTACTCGAATCCAATCGGATTCTCTTATCGCCGGCAGTTGAACAAACCCTTTGCCCCTTTCAGTCCCATTTGTACTCGTATTTTCACGCTTTCGTACAATCGTTGCCTCTCTGTCTTAGTTTCTGCGAAAAAGATAAGGTAGCGAACTCAAAGAACAATACTGCAGAAATGGGGCTTATCTGCGCATGTAGTATATCAGTCGGTATATTTTTTCTATCCGATTGACGTTGTTGTGCACGTAAGCATTTAGGCCACACCTGGCTTTAGAAAGGCAAGACTTATAGGGCGTAGAAAAAGACATTGTGCATTTATATCTTTACTCATAGATGTGCTGGCAATCCATCAAAGCAGTAAGCCCTAGTCCGAATCAATGGTAGATGCATCAATTTTGTAGCTTCACTTATCTAAATTCAACTATTTCCTAATAGCAAATTGTCCCATATTCGGCTAACAAATAGAAGTCTACATCATAGCTACAATTCTAGACCCCATATCTCCTCCACCTATAAATGTACAACATCATGAAGTAACCAAATATTATCTGCTCCATTTCATTGGTCAATAACATCAAATTAGTTTTATGCTGCAATTATATATTTGTATTTATATATTCTTGTTGTATATAATATGTTATATAAACATTAATTTGCAAAAATATTATTCCAAAATTAGACATTTCCTTGGGTTAATTATAGACTTAAGGGGTGCTTCTCTATGCATACAACGTGAGTATAAATTACATTTTCTTTACAAATACGTAAATCGAATGGAAATAAAAAGAAAAAGAACAAGTGAAGAAAGTAACCCAATTACAATTTAGTTTTAACAATCAATTCAGTGGCGATATGCTTTTCAAGCTGTTTATACGTGGAAGAGCATTGAGTACAATTAATAGAGTACTTGTGGACATTGTATGGACCGCTTAACAATTACTTTACATAATGCCATTGGTATTTTACATTACATTAAAATACACACACGAGCAGGAGCTCCAAAATAGTGGGGCTCTGCTCACACATTAGAATCGAAAGTTCATTGGATTGGATTTACATTGTACATATGTACATCGACTAATACATCATCATCATTATCGTCATAATCTATACACGTATATATATTGCATATTGTCAGGCGGGCGGGCGGTGCATGATCTAGGTCTAGATCTAAGCTCTAGTTGCCCTCAAGCATCATTCGTAATCGTCGTGGTAAGCACAAGTTTTGCATCAACACGCTGGCTGATTCCTGTGCCAAGATTCGGGTTTCTCTCAACCCTTTAGCAATCAATTCAATTCAGTTCAATTCAATTAGATTCAATACAAATTCAAATCACTTTGATAGCCGCTTGACAAAGGAAACAGATCAGGTGTCGTTGTTGGGATTATTGTTGTGTTCGTGGCTTGTGGAGGACAAGGTGGAAGTCTCTTCACCAACAGCAGCAGATGCAATAGTTCTGGATGCGTTATTGTTGTTGGTGCCACCAATATCGCTGGCATTGCATGGCTCTGGTTTACTGATTTCGATATTGTTACTGTTACTGTTGTTGTTATTGTTGCTTAGCTTAATAGAAGACAAATTGGTTTTTAGCTGCACCTCATCGTATTTCTTGTCAGCCTCCTCAGCAAGGAAACGCGCTTCCTTCAGCTGATTCTCGAGAGCGTCCATGCGTTCTTCATCGGCAAGGGCGCGGTTCTCAAGAATTTTGCGAGCACTATATCATATATAGTGCGATATGGTAGAGTACATATGGATATAAACCCCATCGGTTGCGACGACCATGCCCATAGAAGACAGTGACCAAGTGGTTAGCGATGATTTGCCGTTCCCCAGTGGAATTGCAGTTGGTACAGCCGAAAAGTTTTCACGAGAATCATTCGACGTCATCGTCCACATCGTGGGGTGTTCAGTGTGGTTGTTGTAGTTATAGTTGTAGTTGTTGCAATTGTTACGACAAACAGATGTTTTACACAAACATTCACATAGAGAGATACATTTTTGGTTTGTGAATATTGCAGTTTGGATGTAGTTGGTCGTGGTTGTTGTTGCAAAAGAGACAGAAATTTGTTGTTGCCAGTTGAGTTAACAATTCGGAATTTTCTACTTAATTAACAAGAATTTTACAGGGGGAAGGGGACACTAGGGGAGACGGAAAGGGTTAAGCAAGAGGCTTAAACTGTGTTTGGCTTCATCGAAGCGAAATGAATGGATATGCAACCAATTTGGTAGCTATTATTTTAAGGGGTATTTAAGCCAACGGACTAGTCTAGACTGGATTTAGACCAAGAACCAAACACACTTTAGGCTTCGTCTCATTACAATCACTGGGGGATTTTTCATTTTTTTTTAGACATAATTGTTTAACAGCCATTTGACTAATAGACTACTATAAGCCTAAGTAGGACATGCTGTCTTATACATCATTTTACAAAGTCTTTACAAGAATTCAGAGCAGATCCATGGTGTTCCAGTTCCAGCGGCGGGTCGACATCTTTCAACAGGGCAAACTAAATGCTGTTTACAGAACGTCTTACACACTAACTTAGATACATCGTTATTATCGTTAACATTATAAAAGTGACCATTATTATTATAACGACGGCGGTTATTGTCGTTGTTGCAGAGTCGGTAGAAATTAGATAGAAATTAGAAAATAGAGAGCGCAGATAGATAGACCCAAAACCTAATTAGTAACGCAAATGTTGACCAAGTGAACCTAACCTCAAGGAGCAGAGCCTAATAACCCTAATGCCCTAAAGCGGAGACCAAATTCCGCAAATGAATTCGTAGACTATACCTCTTCGTATTTCTTATCAGCTTCTTCTGCAATTAATTTTGCTTGCGCTAATTGGTTCTCCAATAGAGCTACTTTGTCATCTTCCATATTTGTGCGATTCTCAAGCGCTTTTCGTATCCTGAATTGGTCGCAGCATTGCGAAACGATATACAGATACGATTAAAAATATATGTTGTAACTCGAGCTTAAAAATTCTCTGTGAACTTAAGAAGTATTTAACATATTCGGGTACAGTGGGGGATCATTGGGTAGATTGGGTAGTGGGGCCAGGGACTTTAGGTGGTAACGTGGTACTAACCGTTCGCTCTCATCGGCGGCCTGAGAGGCTTCCGACAGCTTGGCTGTGGCGGAGCCCAGACGCTCCTCAGAGCGCTCCAAGTCTTCTTCGAGCAACTGGATGCGACGGTTCAGAGCGGCAACCTCGGATTCGGCCTATAAGACAAACGTTCGATGGTCGAAAGAACCAGATATAGCATATCCATTCGCTGAGCACTTAGGGCTAAAATCTTAATGTCTACTTTACTTCTTACGGTGCTAGACCTTATATGTTTTGGGGCAAGAAATACACATAAATACATAAATAGTTGCTACTTTTGGTTTGGGAAAACATACTATCCTAGCTTCGGTTTGGTCAAACAAGACAGCTATGATGTATTACTCCTGCATTTGCGCTCCCTTTAACCCCCTTTTGAAGTACTTAAAGTGCTAAACCTAATTTCCTCCCTACAATGTCGACCGTTGATCCCATTTTCTTTTGCGGCTTCCACCTGTAAAGAAAACTTCCTTTTTCCACCTCGTTGTTGCTGTTGCTGTTGTTGTTGCTGTCGTCGAAGCAAGGTCATAGCAAACCCCCCAAAGACGCCCTAAAGCACCGATATGAAATGATTGCGTGTTGCTTTGCTGGCCAAGTGTAATCGATACTCGCCATCAAAGTTAAACAAAAGTTCAACAACACCACTCTACCTGATATGGCTACTAGTCCAAAAATGAAGCCAATACAAGGTTCATGGCGTCATGACGTCATCGATTGAGTTTGGTCGAGAGTTTTCCCACCGTCTACAATACTATACCCATTAAAGAACGGAACATATTCGCTGCTTTATGGCCTTATAGAGGCCGCAGCACGTCGAAACGATGAAAAGCGAAAACAGCGCGCTAAGCAACCGCCCAAAAATGGTGAAAAAAGTATATAAAATTAAAGGCGAATCAAACTTTGAATCGAAAACGGCTGAAAAGCAATTGGACAAGGCAGTCCGGTGCCACTTCTAAGTTCCATGTCCATGTCCATGTCCAAATCCATGTCCAATGACTGATATGGTGCCGGGCATGGCGATAGAGATGGATATAGAGCTACTGCACTGATATGTACATGGAATGACTAAGTGAGCGAATGAACATTTGAACAACTGAACCACTGACCATCTGACGACGCCTAGAACCAAATGAACGATGTGAGTGCGGGTCGTAAAAGTATCGTGTGATTATGAATTGGAACCAACCGTGCTGGGTTACGTCATCGTACAAAATACACACACACATGAGCGATAAAAAGCATTTCGAATTGGGGGAGCAGGCAACGCAGCTTTCCAAACACGAAAGTCACACAACAAAACCGCCGATGAAGCCCAAGAGCCAGCAGCACAAGAAAAAATGCCAAAAATCGAATACAAAGTGAAGGCAAAGAGAGCAGTTCATATACCCTTGCCAAATCAAATCATCATATCTTTGTTAGACCTCAATAAAGAGTTAATTCTTAAGTCACCGGTAAATGTGCCCAAAAAGCACCAAGTTATAATGGAGTGTGCCTCGTGTTCATATGACAACAATAGGTTATGGTTTGAAATAAGCATCGGATTTGATCGTTTTTATATTGAAACTTGATCTATTCTTAGTTTTGGAGAAGAGTCAAATTACGCTTAGTTATACTTTGTGTGTAACCAACTTCTGCTCAAACTGGTTATACCCCTTCATCAAGGGTAGTCCCAAATCCCAAAAAAAAAGAAGAGCAAAGCAAAGAAGTTGAAGAGTGGATTCCAGTTGGGTTTCGTTTTGTAGCGGGAGTTCCAGTCTCCTCTCCTCTTGCTGTGTCTGTCTCTTTTTCGAGCTCATTAACAAAACGTATTGAAGATTAAACGCTTTATTAACGGGCCAAAACGGACGAGGGGAGGGGGGAAAATCAGTGGGCAAAGAAAAGCGGTGAGAGAACACGTTCCCAGAGAGAGCGAGACAGGGATGTGCGAGAGTGTGGCCTCCAATTGTTGTGGAATGTATGAAAAATGACCGGCAAAGTGCAAAAAAAAAAAAATAAATAAATAAATAAAAAAAATATAGTTGAAGTGCCGAAAGAAACTCCATAAAATCCAATGCAAAACTGTGGCCGAGAAATGGTACCAGAAATTGTTGACGGCTTAGTCACACACACCTTGAAATTTACGTGTTTTGCGTTTTTTTTTTTGTTTTATTGCCCTGGCAACCGAAAAATAAAACACCAGAAAGAAAAAGACTTATTGGAGCGGTACACGTAGGGCGTGTTTTCATTGTGATGATGCATTTTTAATTATGAACCGAAAAATAAGCCATGAAAATGTAAAACACTGCGCTAAAGACGCTGCTCTCAAGCATAAAATATTTCTTTCTCAAATATGCCGTTTGTCTGCGGAGTGGAGAGGTGTGGTGGGAGGGGGAAAAGGGCGGAGCGATGGCGTCATATGCTGTAATCTACGAATTACGAAACTGGCAAGAGGCAAAGCACACAAATCAAAACCAATTTGTCACAATGCGCGCATTGAAATTATCAACGTTCAATTGCAAGAGGGAAAAGCGAGGGGAAAATGGTGGAAATGCTAGAAATGGGGGGAAATGAGCGGCAGAGTGACATTGAAAGCATTGTATAGAAATCCGGAATGAAGCAAATTATGTTTTGTTTTAGTTTTCATTTTCCTCGTTTTGTAATGCGGGAAGCGAAACGTCAATCACTTGCTGGCAGCGTGGAAAAGACTCAACTAGGGAGTGAAATCACGCTTTAGAATCTTTTCAAATTCAAAATCAATTCGAATTCGGAACGGAAAAGTACAGTGAAGCTGCTTCAGGGCGAACTTCATGCAGAATAAAGCAGTTCTATCTTACTGCTTTAAAACTTTTTAACTCAAGTATAGAAGGAAGGTCGTGCTATGGAGTTTAAACTTTTTTCAAAGTTATGCTCCCTCAGCAATGACGTCATTGTGCACACACACACATACGCTCAAAGGAGCCCGCGCACTCAATTGTCTAATTAGAATTGAATTAGGAACATGGCAGAGCCAACGGGCAAAAAAGCTGCGAAGGCATTAGCAGAATTAAACCACTTATTGATGGCCGTGGCGTAAAAATCATAATTAATCGAATTTAGAACACCGCTAGCTAAACGATGTGGCTTCTTTGCCGGACTTAAAGCCGGTTTTTCTTTTTTCTTCGAATTTTTTTTTTGTCGCTGAGAAAGCAGAAAGCTAGAAGGCCAACCGAATCGCTCAATTTACAAAAGATTTCTTTCCTCCTTTTTGGCCTTATGTAAATGGGAGAGTGACTGGTGGTCGGTCGTCTGCATGTGTGTTTGTTTTATGCTAATTTTCGAGTGTGTGTGCTGTCAAGCGGGAGATAACACGCAATTCGAAAGGTGAATGAATTCGGTCAGCGATAAGAACAGTTAGCCCAAAAATAGAGTTAGGAGGGACGGGACCGGAAGCACCCTGTATCTGAGCCCGAAAATTCGTTCACCACGAAAAGAACAACAGCCAGACTGGAAAAATTTACAAAGAGTAAAAACAACAGCTTCAAGAGAGAGCTCAAAAAACAAGAGAGCGCCACCTTTTCAAACACTTGCGTTGTCCCGCTCCCGCACACGCAAACGGCGGCCAAAGAATAGAAAGAACGAGAGGGAGAAAGAGGGGGCGAAAGAAATGCGCTGGACTATCTTGTCTTTTTTTTCCGTCATTTAGGTAGGATTTATGCAAAATTCAGAAGACAGGTCACGCAGTCGTTTGTTTGCCCAAACCAAGGGGTAGCAAATTAAGTAAGTGGCTGGGCTGATCTTACTTCTTCGCGGCGCACCACCTCCAATTGCAGCCGCTTGTGGAACTCCTCGCACTCGTCTTTGTACTTCTCCATCTCCTCTTTGGTCTGGCGCATCTTCTTCTTCAGCACGTCCAAGAGAGTGCCTTGTGGAATGGTGGTCGTCATTTTTGTTGTTTTTTTCTTCTACTTGACTTTAGCACAGAGCTTGTGGGTGTTTCTTTCTTTTATCGTGTGACTGGGCACTTGAGCTCGATTTTTTCCTTACTGAAGAAGCACTCTGCCTATTCGGACAGCACACCAAATTTAATTTTCAATTTGGAATGGAACACACGCACACACAGGCCGAAACGAAAGAGCTCGGTACACACACACACTCGCACACTGAGTGAACGAACCACCGGTTTTTTTTACTTTGATAGCTTCAACTTCAACTGCTTTTACCCTGGCTGGGGATCGAATTTAAAGGGCAGTGTTTGGTGGCAAAACTGGCAGGCGAATAGGCTGCGTTTAAATATTGAATATTGCTATTTGGTGGCAAAAACACAAAAACGCAGAGAGAGAGACAACGACGACGCGACTGCGACGAGTACGTAACTGGAAATGAATCCACCGAATCGCCCGTCGAAGCGGCGGTGGTGGTTTGTGCGAGCGGGACAAATGTCTGCTGCTGAAGCTACTGCCTTCCAGTCTGTCTGCCTCGCCTAAAACGGTGCGCCAGTGTGTGTGTATGTGTGCTCGCGCGTGTGTGTGCGACTGGAAAACCTGTTAAAAGCCGCTAAAATTCTGTCCATGTCGACATTGTTGTTGTTTTGGCATTAATTAGTGAAGAAATATTTTGGATTTTTGTCATTTCCAGGCAAATAATATTATGCAAAAATCGGGCATGTAAAATGGGCAGCGAAGAAGATGAGTAAAGCGGTGTGGCAGGTGTGTGCGTGCGTGAGTGCCAACGCAACCTCTCCCCCTCCCACTCGTTCCACTAATTGCTTCCACTACGGCAAGCGGAAAACACAAAGCCGGCGCTTTATCACGCTTATCAGCAAACAACGTAAGCGCAACGTAATGACTAATCACGTTATGCTAACCGCTTTGTTTCGAACTGCTTAACCACCTGTAGCTACATATAGCTACACTTCATTCCCGACTTCCCGGCGATGGCGTAATTGTTTTGATAATGCAAACAATGAGCGCTCGTCCATTTTTAGCCGGGCGACATTGAAGAGAAATTAAAAGTAAATAATAGTGGAAGGTCGCGCCGAGTATCGGCGTTTAATAATTAATTTGTTGGCCAATTTTGGAAAATCGAGCTTGGCCGCGGCACTGCATGTTTTATGCTTTGGCCATAAATGGCCGGGTTTTCCTTTTGGCTTTTCAAACTGTGTTGCCTTTTTCGGCGCACTGAGCAAAATTAAAACAAAAACTGAAAAATGAAAAGCACTAATACCATTTAGCGGTCTTATCGGACGCTCTCTTTCTCCCGCCCGCACAGCAGCAGGCGATAGAGAGAGACACAGGGAAGGAGAGCAACAGGTGGCCTGTACGGTGGCGAGTACCGTTAGATATTCCAGCAATTGCGTAACTAATTAAACAATTGCCTGCAATTAAGTAAACTTGCACAAATTAATGGAATACTTTTAAAAGTAGAAAGGGAAAATCAAAGATTGAATGCTTTGCTAAAATATTTTAAGCTCGTAGTTAAATTTGTACCATTTCTAGGAACTCACGCACTATTAAAAACGTTGAAGCAACATTAATAAGCAAATCGATTCTGCCTAGTGAAAGGTGAGAGAAATAAGTGGTACGAACGAAGTGGGTCAAGATATACCGCAGCTTAATCTTTACCTAGGGCGAAAAGAAAACACGAGGGCCGAATAAAGACCCTGGGGCCAGCCAAGGGTTAAGGCACAACAAGAAAATCGCGAAAATACCAAGACGAAGACGACGACGTAATCGCTTTGCAATTTCAATGCGAAAAAAGACAGCGACAAATTGGAGCAATTTCTGAACCTAACCAAACTTTGGAGTCCCCTTTCGCAGAGCAACAACAAGGTGGCTTCTTCGCTTAATTTGGAGAAGATATAGATTAGTAAGGAATGTGCAACCAACTTCCAGTCTCGCGACCACTAATTACCCGTTTGAGTTGTGTGTTCATGATGTTGTGCAGCTCGTTGCGGATGATGTTGAACTTCATCATGGTGTCCGAACTAAAGATGGACCTGCCAAAGGCCAGGCCTGGATAATCCGCACAGCGTCCCTTGTTCCGGCGAGCCTCCCGCTCCGCCACAATCTCGGCCGCCTCACTGGTGCACCGCAGCTTGGACCACTCCGCCGCCTGGTTGTCGTCATCGTCGGCCAGTGCGATGCCCTCATCGATGGCCCCGGCACTGAGATCGGTGGCCAGGCTGTCGCTGCTCACCTCCATGGGATTGGAGCGTTTGCTGCGCTCCTTCTTGCCCGAGGACTTCTTCTTCCGGTCGGATTTCTCAGACTTCTCCGACTTTTCACCCTTCTCCCGCTTCTTTTTCTTGCTCTTGGAGGTGGTTGTGGCTGCTGGTGGGGCTGCATCTTCGGCTATCGAAGATGCGGCCGGATGGGTCGCCCCTTCATCCTGCACGCTGCTCTCGTCCGTGGGTGTGGGACTGTTGCTGCCTAGGGAATTGGTCACCGATTCACTAAGGGGCAGGCTTAAAGTGCTTCTGCTGGGCGGCAGCACCTCCTCCGGCTGCTGCTGTGGTTGCTCCTCCTCCGGAGGAGGTTGCGTCTCGCCCCTGAGATTGGAGAGGGCGCTCTTGGAGTCGCCGCGATAGAGGGCGGCCAGGATCTCCTGGACATTGGGCACATTGGGACGGCGAGTTCCCGAGAAGCGCGGATGATGCTGGTGGCCACGACGCTTCAGCGAGGCGGGAACTAGACTGGTATTGCTGGCTGTGTGGCTGCCAGTGCCACTGGTGCTGGAGTCGTCGTGCTCCATCTCCGAATCGCTCCAGAAATCGCTCACTGGCGTAGAACTCCTGCTCCGCCGGAGTGTCTCGAACCTTTCGTACAACTGGGCTAGATACAGTTCGGCCTCCTCATCGCAGTAGTAGAGCAGGTCGTCCAGCAGGTTCAGCTGCTCTTCGATGGAACACCAGCGGGATGATAGGCCCGAAGATTCCGATTGCGCCCTCGGATTGCGAGTGCTCCTGGTGCCGGCGCGCTTTCTCTGCTGCCTGCTGCACTTCTCCTTCGCCTTATCACTTTTGAACAATTGTTTCTGCTGCCTCTGTTTCGGTTTGGCAACTGTTTTGCCCGACAGCGGCTGCACTTGTGTTTTTTCTGAAAAGTTAAAAGGGGGTTTTTCTTCGATTGACTATGTTTGGGGTCGTTCGACCGTGTTGACCACTCTTTCCAATTGGTATTTTGAGTATATTTACAAACTGCTATGTTGTGTTACTTTGTTAATATTTACAAAATGTAATTATTTACTTTAAATTTTGTGTAATTTGTGGCGAAAATTGCTACGTGAATTTCTTTACTGGAACCAGCTGTTGCTGGATGGGGCAGTGTGACCAGTGTGGAATATGTCAAAAATACCAATTGGCCTGGAAGTGCTGACAACGGTGCATTTCTTGCTGGATCATGTGGAATTAGCTGTCCAACGACACCGTTTCCAGCTGCGTTGCCAACTACATGCGCACTGTGCAAGGCTGAATGCTGACTGCTACAGCACTTGCAGCTTGTGTGCGCGTGTAGAATAAGCAATTTGAATTTCGCATTTAAGTATAGATAAACTGTTTACGCTTTTGCTGCGGCTGCTTATCCTGACCGCCGCTGGTCAGTAAATGGCGATGTGCTCGCTTGATTTGATGGGCCAACGATTGGCGGCGTGTCGCGTTGCCAACGAATTTGATTTTGGGGCCTTGCTTAACGGTAATGCTGTTGCCGGTTAACGGTGGCACTGTTGCTGCTGCTCTTGCTGTTGTTGTTGCAGCTGTAGTTGTTGCTGGTGCGGCTTTTGTTGCATTTTTCTGCTTAACTTTAACTGCTGGCGCGGTGGTTGTTGTTGTCGGATGGGGTTTGTTATTGTAACTCACTTTTTGCCATACATATGCATTATTAACTTTCGCAGTTCCTATGTTTAATGTTTTCTCGTACATATTAATTATGAGCAATGCCTATTGTTGTTGTTGTTGTTTCCGTGTGATTTGATGCGTGTTGTTTTAGAGTCTTGTTTTTTTCTTTTTTGTTGCGGATCTTAAACAGCTGGACTCATTGTACCGTTAGTTTCGCTATTTTTATTGATGATTTAATACAGATCTTTTGCGAATTTTCATCGGCGCGTGAAAATTTGCAGAGAGAGATAGAGAGAGAGTCAATTTCCGCAACACTTTTTATGTAATTATACAAATCGCTAGAATTTCACTTAAAATCGCTTTAAATGAAAGTAGTGATTTTTGCTAAAATTTGATTAGACCGAACGGGTTTTCATTTAACGTATGCCGGTATATAATTTGGTTGTAATTAATTGAATTAACTAAGTTTTTCTTGCTAGATTTATGAGCGGGCGGCTGCTGCTGTCTTTTCTGCTGCTTTTTCCTCGGCCCCTCGTTGTGTTGTGTTTGTGTTGTACTTGAATTTTGGGGCCATGCGCTCACCGTTAGATGAGCATGGGGAAACTCACTGGCTCACTATCTCGCTCCCCATCCCCATACCCATTTGGCGCTCTCCCACTCTCTAGCTCGCTCTCTTTCGCTGCGTGTGGCACGTGTGCGAGTGAGTCAGCAGTATGGATCAGCATAGGATCCAATATGGATCCCCACCCACCCAATGAGCGAGAGAGAGAGAGTCCGACGGAGTGAGTGGGGGTGGGAGAAATCTCTTTTTTTTTATCTAACAGATTTCCTTCTCCCAGAAAGAGAGCATTTTCAGCATTTGATTCATTTAATTGCTTATCTCTGTTTTTTCTCCATTTTTCAATATTAGTCAGAGGCATCCGTTCGCTTTGTCATATTTATTTAGGGCTCTGGGCCTGGCCATGTGAATATGGTTGTTTGATAAGTAGTTACCTTGTGGATCCACTGCTAGCGATAAGTTTTCCAAGCGCTTTACCTACTAAGACCTTTTTGAAACGATGCCAAATGTCCTTGAAATACTTTCCGAAAATGTGGCAATCAAAAGACGAATCGCAATTCGAATTCTTTTTGGAAACACTGAGGCCCAACTACGAAAAGTGTTCTAGATACGAAGCTAATTCAGAGAAATAGAGAGTATGCGTATTTTTTTTGCAAGAACCATTTTTTTTATTTGGCAAGCCAACCGAAGAATTCAGTGCGGTTATTTGATATCTTGCGCTGGCTATTTTCAACGAATTTAAAAATAGCGCCTCTCTGCACAGGCGTTGCCAGCCCAAAGGAGAAGAGAAGAAAAGAGAGCAAGTGAGAGCGTGCTACGTGTCAATTGCTGACTGCTTTGTTTGAAATTCAAAAAAGGAATTTATGATGTTTTTTTGGAATGTCAGAGAACACACAAAATAAATGTTTCCCCCAAACAATTTCTCCGATTTCAAGCTGCCATGAAATTGGCGTTAAATTGCCGCTGCCCCATTTTTTAAACAATCTCCACCCAAAAGAAACCGCCTGCTGTCACCAAGTCACTTCAAAAACGCCTCTTATGAATTTATGTGTATTTCTTGCCTTGAATGCATTTCAAAATATTGAGCAGGAGCATTCAAAATATACGTATTTTTCTTAGGAACTAAAATGGCTTATGGTAAGTTTCAGGGGAAATGTCTTAAGATTCTGGACATTTAAAATCTGACAAATGTCGGACTACATTTTCAAATGATTAATGGAATGTTTTCCTTGTGTTTCAAACATTTTGTTAAGTGTCTTAACTAATTAGTAGTTTTGGGGTCGCTTAGACGCTTTTTCTATATCCAGTTCAATATTTGTCAAACTTAAATTTGAGCTACCAGATTAAAATAACATGAAAGGGAAAAGATTTTAACGATATTTGTATGTGTATTCTGCTTTCATGACTCAAAAGGAATTGAAAAAATACTTTAAGCTCGAATACAAAATGCCCAAGTAATAGCTTGGCGAATATGATAACGCCAAATTGCACAAAAAAAATACCAAATGGAGAACGATTCAATAAAGTTTGAAAAATGAGTCATTTCAATTGAAGACTAGAAATGTTTTGAAACCAAGGCAAACGCTGGGGTCTTATCGTAAACATAGCTTAAGAAATACTTTAAAATGGTAAATATTTCGGAAGATAAACTCACGTTCTGCAGAGCCTTGTTCTTCTCCTCCAGCTTGCCGGTGACCAGGGTCAGGGCTTCCTGGGTCTGATCCAGCTCGTTCTCAACGGTCTGGATCTTCTTCTGCAGCTGGCGAGCCTCCTCCTCGGCCTGCGGATTCGAGCAAATGAAATCAAATGTTATTCAAAAGCAATTCAAAACAGTACACAGAATACACAGAAATCGCATGTGCTAACAAGATTTATAGTGTTGTGTGAAAGCCGGCAATTATGCTCTTTGTTTCATTAAATGCTTTTCGATTCGCAGTGCATGATAGCCATCCACTGTATCATTGCAGGCTTACACCGAAAACAAATTGGGTTCCATTGAAAAGTACTATTTCGTGATTAAGTAATGTAATAATTACACATCTATAATTATACAATGTATAATGTTCAAAAATGATTGTTTTTGTTTTCAAATAAGTCTCTAAATTTTCAGAATTCTTTTCGTTTTTTTAAGATGATCTTAGTGTAACGTGTAACTCTGATCTCATCAGTTTATTATATGGGTCCGCCAATTTTGAGCAGTAAGTTATGAAGTGCATTTTTTACCGTGTACTGGGGCTGGGAAAAGGGAAGGAGAGGGGGGAGGGGTGACTCACCTTCTCGGCGCGGGTGTTGGCATCGCGTGCCTCCTGCTCGCAGACGAGAGCGCGCTCCAGAGCTCCGTCCTTGTCGACTTTCATCGCTTGCATCTTCTTCTTGATGGCATCCATGTCTGTTTTGTTTTGCTACTCTGCACTCGAAAGAAACTGCAATGGAACGGAGATGGCGATCAGATTGTGGCCCAAACTATGGCCAAGTGCAGGCAATAAAGCAATTAGCAGCTTTATGCGATAATCAGCCATTGCAAGCGGAGTAGCGGAGTAGCGAAGTCAAGACAAGGCTTGTGCGAAAGTGAAACTCTGCACATGTATTTGCATTTTATGATCAACCTATAAATGAGGATCCTGCAATCACAGCTTCGTTTGCATCTATGTTCCATTCCGGTTCTTAACTTTTAAGCCCAAGCAATCTGCATGTAATCACTAAAAGTGGCATATCTTCTTCCATTTCAAGAGACTCAGCGAATAATTAGCAATAATGGATAGCCTTATTTGGACGAAAGGTGGCAAAGCCAATAAATTATTCGGCCTGGCCAAAACGGAATCACCCAAGGCCCCCTTTTTGAAGCCAATCGCATTGTTCGGGCTCAACCAACTGATAAATTGAGAATTTAAAATTTCGCCGGCGTCTCTGCGCGACTTTTATTGCCCGATTCTTTCGCTGATGTTTTGAACTTTGAGAGTGTTTTCTCATCTCGTCACAGTAAATCATTTAAACGAGAATACCTGAAACTGGCAGCGCATGCCCGACTTTATTTTCTGGGGGATACCTCAAGCCGAAAATGCGGTGTTTAGTTATGCAGATCACATCGGATCGTATGGATCGTGGTGGAGCCAAACGAAGCTGGGAGAACTGGGGACATTCTCAAATAGAGAGTTTGTGACCAGGCAAAATTGTGTCAGTTGCTTTGGGTAATTCTAATCTGGGCCAAGAAATCGCTGCGTAGATAAAGTTTTCAAATGCTTCGAAAATAGGAGGAGGTATTGGAATGATTGTACGCACATTAAGTGTGTTTTTTAATTAAAATTGCATACTTTTAGGAACCACGTATTGTAAGGCAATACTATTTATATTTATATTTACACTAAGCTTTATCTTTCAATTATTTTCTTATCAGTAAGGTGCAGATGCTGAAGCAACCATCCTCGAATACAAAACCCAAGATGAGTCACCCACTGAGCTGCAGTGGAGCGAGACTCCAGAATCCAGACTTCTGACTCAATGTGAACGCAGCTGGAGGGTTTTTGGCCCCTCCTTCGGCCCATGGACACCCCTTCCTCCTGGCCAACCCGAAACCCACTTGACCAACATTTGTCATGGCTCGAACCGAGTGCAGCCGGCGGCTAATTGACTCGAGTTTCGCCCCGTGAAATTTTAATTCTTTATTACGGCTCATCGCTGGCATTTGTTGTTCGGCTGCCTTAAACATGCATTTATTTTTAAAAACTCTGTTTACATTCCTGAGCCTGATCCGCCGAAGAGAAGTGGCACTGCCAAAAAGCGCCAATCGAATAAGCCAAAAAAAAAAACGTTGAATTTTAATGAAATCGCAATCGAGGCAAATTTTCTGTTCGCTCAAAAAACATATATTGTATATATATGAAAATCTGCATGTGTATGGCTATAAGTCGATTAAGGTGACACAGTGAGTTATGTTTGCGTTGATTCAGCACTAAATTCGCATGACATCTTATAACTCCCGGCAATGACATATATATAACCGAAAAATGGGCCTACATTAAAGGGGCTTATAGATATTTAGAACATCCTTATGGCGAGAATATGCTATCACTAGGAAAAAAGGAAGTATTTTTAGAGGCAAAGTATCATCCTAATGTAATTTTGTGCTACATATAACTTTTCAAAAAGATACGAAGCTTATACAATCGGATCCCCTTATTTTTATCCTTGGCCAACTGACTGCCCACCTTTATGAACTTGCACTAAGCAATTCGTACTTTTCTGCCCAGTTTAAAGGTTTCAGATATTTTGTGGCCTTTTAACATCTAGCTTTCCACGGAAAATTTTCCAAATTATCGCATGGAAAATTCAGAATTTCATCATACAGAATACAGAATTTTCTATTCTTAGATTTCGATATATACACACGTTGGTTTAAATGGGTCTAACGCATATAGATTATTTAGCCAAATGCCTTGGGCGATACTCTTGCAGCTTTCCGCCTCTTTCCTGCTCTCTATTTCACTGCTTTGTATCTGTAGCACACACGGATTGTATCTAAAAATAGGCCAATCAAGGCATCTGTTGAATATCTTGCCTCTCCACGGATATTACTTAATACTAAGCTGCGAGGAAGGGAGCTTTCTGGGAAATTCTTGGCGCATTTCGCCTACGTTCGCTTCAGATTCATTTGGCAGCTACGGCCAGCGGTCGTGGATCAGATTTCAAATACAAAAGATACAAAATTGCAAAATAAATGCGCGTGTTTCGCAGATACTTGGAAATCTGCTTTACAGATTCTCATACATTTTGGAACAACGAAAATTTTAATTTGGGAACACAGTTTAAGAACAACCTTATTTCATCTATATCTTTACTCTAAGAATGTCTCCCTTGGTTTCTGAAAAGGAAAGCAAGCCTACAGGCTTCGATAGTCCTTTCCGCGTAAATTCTTTACTTCAGCCACTAAATTTCAGATCATTCTAAATTCCCACTGACCATGTTCATATATCTCATGAATACTTTTAGCTGAAACCCTATATAGCGACTTGCGGTTAGCAGACAAACTTGACAAGGTCCCCAGAATCGTTATTCTTAGTTTTTTGCGAACTGCAAAGGTGCTTAACCTCTATTTGGGTTTTTTCGATTCTAGCTGGAAATATCTTCAATTTTATTCAATACTTGCGGATGATTAGGGGTACAAATTACACAGCACTTTGGTGGATTTTATGTTAGATTTGCAGCAACGTTTTGGTTATGTAATTATACTGTTTGGTTGAGTTTAATCCTTTTCAAATTAGAATTGAATTCTAGCACAGTTAAAATGATTTTTTAAGCACTCGACAAGTTTTTTTTGTTGAAATATTCAACGATATCTTTGCTTTTTTAAATTTTTTACTGATCAACGATAACGTATTCCTTTTTACTTACAAAACTTTTATTCGGAGTTATCCGCGACTTGAACGGATTGTGATGTTCAACTGAAAATATTTATTCAATATGTTGACGTTCGATGCTCGCCGCTTGGTCGATTTCGAGCGGTTTGCGCTGGTGTGTGTGCGTGTGAGCCGCCGCACAAGTGCGCGTGTGTGCGTGAGTATCTGTGTGCGAGAGTGCGCACTTTTCGCCCAAAAGCCAGCCGATGTTGTTGCTATTTGCGTTCACTTTGGAACTGCACTTGGCTCTCAATTTACACCAAGAGCATCAGCGAGCTGTTCGGCTGGGGTACAATAGCTTATGCACTGCGCGAAATGAACAGAGGGGTTCTTTCTTCTTATATATATACTTATACATATTGTATATTTTATAATTACATCGAAATGTAATTATGTAGAATAATTTAATTGGCAATTTATACTTAACTTATTTATAAAATTAAGTCGCACCTAATAATTAATGAAATTGAATAGAACGGAAGAATAAAGCCAAAACCAATTTACTTACTCATTCTACTATTGCTATTGAATAATGAATAAACTACTGAACTGAATGGATTTATATAGGTTTTTCCTCTTTAAAGGAATACTACAAAGAATAATAAGCATGACGGCAGTTGAGAAGCTGAATATGTAATGCCCAAAATGCTTTCTTTCAAACACGATAATTTGGAACTCAGGTTAACATAGGTTTTTAAGTTGTTAAGCTCATACCACATTTCTTTCACAAGTCAACTTTTGTATTTTAATTCAATTATATTCGTATCCAGTTTCGGTCAGTGTAACGGTTAGCACCAGATCAGAATGTCCAATACAGTTACACTTTATTCCCACACCATCAAGCCCGGCGCCTGCGCTCTCTCTCTCTCCGCTTTCTCTCTTTTCCTATCCTCTCTCTTCCGATCCTTTTGGTAGGTGCTTTCACCTGTTTACTGCGCATGTATTGGTGCCCACTCAGTTCAAAGCGAACGCTTTTCTTTCGGCCTATTTTTGAAAATTTCCCCATATTTTGAAAAGCTCTTTCCACCCAGTGTTTTCGCCCATTGCAAAATATCTCCAATACTCAGGCAATCGTGTGCCGAGTGTTTTTCCGATGCGAGTGTGTGGGTTTGAGGATCTTCTTGTTTTGCTTTTTGATGTTCTCAACTTCTATTTTTAATTTTCAGTTATTGATATGCCAAAAAAATCTTGTTTCACGTAGTTATACGTATTTCCACCATAGGTCTACAGATTATTATTTTCTGCTCTACATATTAAATTCTATTTCTATAGATTTTTCAACGTCATGTCTGCGAACGGAACAACATTTTGTTGGCAATCATAAATGTCACATATGAAAGTATACGTTGTTTTGTAACTGTCTCGCAAGAAAATGCCCCCATGAATCATAGCTTTTTAAATTGCAATACGTGAAAATGACTTTAATTCAGTTTCCTCAAGATCGTTGTGATTCCGATCTGCTGATTTGCATATTTTCCCTCCTAGATTGCTTGTTTTTAATCGGTTTTGTTTTTAATTGTTTTTAATCAATTAAAACGTAAACGTGTGCTTGAATCATTTTCAAAATCTAAAAGAAGGGAGTAAATGTATTTTATTTTAACAAGATAATCATAAATTCAATATTAAGTGCTGAATAAATATGCGTAGTAACAAATTATAATAAAATAAATAAAAAATAATTATAAAACCTCTATATATTTCCTTTGAAGCAATTTTAACTTGTTGAGCTAGTGGTTTTTAGTTAAGGTTACTTAAAAATTATCGCACTATTTAGCAGATTATATATGCATGTCCGAATGCAATCAACGTCTTTAAATATAAACCTATAAATATAAACCAATTTGATAACCCCATTTACTCATTCCGTTTTTTGCTGTTCTCTTATCTTGGAGAACATTTGGCACTCGGGTTGTTGAAATTTTTAAAATTAACTCAAGCAACACCCACAAAATGACGTAATTGTGTATTCATTGAAAACAACAAGTTTTGAAGAAAGAAAACTAGATCAATATTTTTATAAAGACAAAAACATATAGCAGGGGGTGAAGAAGACATAGACATGGAGAAGACCTTTGAGAAAACGTCGAAAAACATTGTAAAATAGCAAAACAGTCTGAGCAACTTGCTAAATACGAAAACGAAATCATGGCCATCGAATCCGAACCGTCGACATGTGTTAGTTATGGAAAACCAAAGTTTTCATAATTCCAAAATATACGCGAATTAAATAAGTTCATGAGTGTGTATCACTCGGCTTGGCTCAGACAAGTGCGCAATCTTGTTAGAAAAATCGCAACCATATTTGGCGAAAATAGTATGGAAAAGTTTAATCCGGACTGAGGGGCATAGACGACTGGGTTTGGCTTACACAGACAAAAATCAGCTTATTTATTTGCGGCGGTTTGTCGGAGAAGATTGACTTCTTAAGTATATAGATCATTGTTACATCGGTATTGATCTTGATTTTTAAATGGTATTGATTTTATATCTGCTGGCAAATCACTCAATTTTAAGACAGTGTGTAGGGTGCACTGGAAACTGAAATACAATCTATTGGGGGAGGGGTGTGGGACTATCCCAGTCTCTCAGGGGCCGCTGATGACTCAATTGGCGCCGGCTCCTTGTGAATGAAGCCGCAGCGATCGCGAACTGGTTAAAGCTGTGGGCAGCAAAAGGAAATCTTCGCTGCGAGCTACTTGCCTTGCCAAAGCCTGCAATTGGCCAAGGTGATCCGCATCCGGATCGAATGTCGTGTGCATGTGAACAGCGTTTTGGCGCTCTTCAACTTTGTCAGTGTCAATTATTTGAAAACCAAAGAGACGACGGGGACCTTGAACTTATCGTCAAGCCTCATGCAAATTGTGGCCATTAGGCGTGCGCCGGAAAACAATGCCTGTTTTGAAATTGTTCAGAAATTGCTCGCACTTGGCAGGGACCACAAATCTTTCGATTTGGATTCAAGGACAACTATTTTCACAGACGACGCCAGCTGCACAAACGATTGACATAGGCGCCTAATGTGTGTGGCTAAAACCTAAAATAAAGTGCTGTGTACCAAATTAAATATAACTTTTCTTGATCCAACAATTTAAGTCTTAAAAATTTTTGTTAGTACTTAAGAAGCTCACATATGCAGACTATTTAAATAATTTTGTAGACTAACGCCAGGTTAATTTAACTATGTACATTCTATTTGATAAGAAATTTACGTTCAAATTGGCCGCCAAAAGTACAGCGTTATCATGCAACTGGTCACACTTCGATTTTAACTTGCAGTGTAGCCGCATTTGCCAAAATGTCATAACACAAAATAACAACAATGTCGCTCGTGGATAAATTAAATTATTACAGCACCCGAAAGTCGTTTAAATATGGCATACCCTTCCTCATCATGATGGTGGCAGGCTCCTTCGGACTACAGCAGTTCTCGAACCTCAGGTAAGCACTTAGGAATCCCCGGAAAATCCTTGGCAAACCCATGAGTATTCACCCTTCACAGGTATCAGTACGCCAAGAAGCAGCCGGTAACGCCGGAGGAGATGAAAAAGTACGGAGTAAACATGAAGAACCGCAAGGATGTGACTTTGGAGTCGGAGTACGACAAAGTTAAGTCCGTGGACATAGAAAACTGGGAGAACAAACGCGGTCCACGTCCCTGGGAGGAGCAGGAGAGCCAGCCGTCCACAGCAAAGCACTAGACTTAATGTTTTCAAAACAATTTACCGTTGAAAACAGACTGTTTGTTGTACATAGGCCATAAATAAATCACCATTGTTTATATCTAGTTAAACAATACCCTGTAAATAATCGATAAATGCATCGGTACTTTCGCATCCGATAGCCCTATGCGTGTCGCACGGTCACACTAAGATTTGTTAATTTTCTATTATTGAAAATAAAATGGGAGAAGTAAAACCCGCTAAAGTGGAAAACTATAGCACGGGGACCGATGCAAACACTATTTTCGTGGATGGTAAGGCCATAATTTTAGCTGAAGTATAAATTTAAGCTAACACATTGGCGCCTTTTGCAGGGGAACGGGTTCTGTGCTTCCACGGCCCGCTTATTTACGAGGCTAAGGTTCTGAAAACAAAACCCGATGCGACGCCGGTTGAGTACTACATCCACTACGCGGGCTGGAGCAAAAAGTAAGCAAGCCTACTAGTATGCACAGTGATCTGCATGAAACCCATCTCTCTTTTAGCTGGGACGAGTGGGTGCCCGAGAGTCGAGTCCTCAAGTACAACGATGACAACGTCAAGCGCCGGCAGGAACTGGCTCGCCAGTGCGGCGAGCGCTCCAAGAAGGACAATAAGAAAGGTGGGTTCAGTTTCACACTTATCTGCTGGAGTAATACATGAAGCTGCTTCCTTAATAGGCAGCGCCAAAGCCAAGAAAATGGAACAGATGCGTAACGAATCTCGTGCCTCGACGCCCTCTAAGGATAGCAACACTTCGCAATCGACCGCTAGCAGCATACCGACAAGCAGCGCCGGACCGGGAAGCAAATCGGATGCCGGCAGCACTGGCATCACGACTCCTAACAGCACCGGCACCACTACAACCAGCCGGGCCCATCGAAAGTCAACACAATCGACGGCATCTACAGCAAGACCTGGTACGCCGAGTGATAAGAAGGAGGACCCCGCCGCAGCTGAGACCACTGAGGACGAGGCTGCAACGCCGGTGGCGCCGAAAAAGAAAAGAATGAGCGAGCAACGCCCTTCTCTTACAGGAAGCGATGTGGCAGAAAAGGCTTTGGTGTCCACTACCACTCCATCCACACCCACCACGGATCCCGCACCATGTGTGGAAAGCGAGGAGGCCTACGCATCTAAGGTGGAGGTAAAGATCAAGATACCCGACGAGTTAAAGCACTATCTGACCGACGACTGGTATGCGGTGGTGCGGGAGCACAAACTACTCGAGCTGCCCGCCAAGGTTACCGTGCAGCAGATTTCGGAGCAGTATTTGGCGCACAAGAAGTCCGTGAAATCGACCAGTGCCAGCAAGGAGGTTGCTATAAACGATGTACTCGACGGAATTGTTGAGTACTTCAATGTAATGCTGGGCTCCCAGTTGCTGTACAAATTCGAACGCACCCAGTACGCGGATGTAATGCAGAAACATCCGGACACACCGCTGTCCGAGCTGTACGGATCCTTTCACCTGCTGCGTCTGTTCGTGCGCCTCGGCTCCATGCTCAGTTACTCGGCGTTGGATCAGCAGTCTATGCAGAACCTACTCGCGCACCTGCAGGATTTCCTCAAATTCCTTGTGAAGAACAGCGCAATATTTTTCAGCATGAGCAACTTTATCAACGTGGATCCCGAGTACGTACGAAATGCACAGTAGGCAATCATCTCTTCTTGACTTGAAGTAAATATTTCATCAAAACAGTTTGCAATAATTCTGTAGTTGCTCCCAACAACTGGTTTGTAAATTAAAACACAAGTAAAATGTTTTGTCATAAGCTAATGGTAATGCTAATAAATATCAGCACCTTGTAAAGATTATTTCTTCGGTTTCGCTGTCGCGTCTTTATCATCGTCCTCGCTCTCCGTTTCGCTACTACTACTACTGCTGCTGGTGGGATAGAAGTCGCGGAGATCCCTAGGCTTATCCCGCTCTTGCTGCTCCTTCTCCAGATATTCATTCTGCACCTTGACAATCTCATCGCTGCTCTTGCAGGCTGCATACTCATTCAGGAGCTTGTCGTTTAGCTCCAGAAAGGCATGACCCCATGAGAACTTGCCCAGAAACCAGCGAGCCTCCTCCGCGAATCCACAGATGTATAGAGTGGCGGCGATGGCCTCCACGCAGCTAAGCTTGCATGGTTTTCCATAGTTGATGGGATTAGCGGCCACCAAGAAGGGCAGCAGTCGCGGATGTGGGCTGCGCATCCTGCCAAAGGGCGTCTCGTCCAGCTTGGCCCACGAGCAGTCGATGACGGCCACGCCCGAAGAGGCCACCACATCCCGGTCCAGCGGACTTACACACAACTGACCAACGGGCGAGAGGACAAGACCAGGAAACTTCTGACCCAGTCGAAGATTTGAAATGAGGCCAAGGCGCGCCAGTTTCCTGCCCGAACACTTCTTTGGGTCGCAGTGGTTTAGGTCCCACATAGCCACCGCGAATTCTGGCGGCTGGCCGAGATCATTTTGGGCTCCATTTCCCGAGGATTCCGAGCCGGAGCTGTCGGTCTCACTGCTGCTGCTGCTGGCCAGTTCATTGGCCTGCTGCGCAAAGCTGCGGGCACAATTGTGATTCGCTTTGACATTGCGGTAGGGTCCTCCTCCACCTTTCTTTCCTTTCCCCCGGTTCCGACCACTCATTATGTTTGGTTAAAAACTTCAAGCAGAATAGAATCGAAGTTTTTTTAACGTCTCGTGGTGGACGAGCTGCCCACCCGATATTTTTTGTTGCAAAGAAGGGTGGCGCAAGTAATGTGATACATTAAAACGTCACTTTTTCAAGTATCAATAGTTGAAGTACAAGTTTATTTAGTTTAGTTTCAGTTATTTAATTATTATAAATATTTGTGTTGTGTTAAGTGAGCTTGATCTGCCAAAGCCATACAGTCTGATTTAAATATTATTAAAGTTTATGTTTAAAATTATATTCTTTTGCGTCACCTTAATAAAGATATGCATGGGATTGCAGTTATCGCATGGATATCGATAATTGCCGAGCACAACCCTGTCACGCTAACGATGAATGGAAAAGAATATGGCGACCTGACTCTGGAAAAAAATTTATAATTTGTCCGGTAAAAGTACTGTGCAATACAAGGAAATGTATGTATTAAAAGTGCAATTATACGGAGTTCGTCTCGAAAATTGAAATTCAATCAAAAGACACGTAGTATATAAGCCGCTGGGATCAAAGTGATTTGTGTGTGCCCCAAAAAAACCATTGTTGTGTGAAGTGAACAGGCGCGCCAAAAGGGCTCAAAAAATGCCACCCACCTAAAGATGCCAAGGGTGGGCTTACGGAAAAACATTGCAGAGTTACGCACAATGAACAATTACTGAAAAATAATACAAAAAAAGCCTGGCGACGCGCACAACGCACACACACGCGCGCGTAACGGGCACACGTACACAAGCGTATATCGATATTTGCGAGTTGCATTTCGCGCCGTGGCGGCAGAGCAAAATAAGCCGAATAACCGAAAATCAATGGGCGTCCATTTGAAAATAACATCAGAATATACTATACTTACTAATTGTTATTGTGTTGCTTCTTTCTCGGGTTCCCCACTGACCCACGGCCCATCCCAATACGCCCTTCCCGACTCCTTACCCCTGCTGGAGTACAGTTGCGCCCTGAAGCCACAGCAAGCGAAACCACGGGGAGGCTAACGATAAGGATTCGGAAACGGAGAGCACGGCCACTAGCCAAGGACACAGCAAGATGGGTGAAGTCAAGTCCGTGAAGGTGGACAATTGGGGAGTCTTCTTCCTGCAGAAGCTGCAGAACTTCTTCAACAAAACGGATTACTGCGACCTAACGCTCCAGTTCCGGGATAATTCACAGCTAAAGGTACATCGTCTGGTGCTCAGCGCCTGCACCGACTACTTCAATGTGCTGGAGCAGACCTGCGAGATCGTCGACGATGCCCTCATTATGCCCAACGAGTTCCAGGCGGACGTGGTGGTGCCCATTGTCAACTTCATGTACACAGGCACTCTGGAGTTCGAGCTTAAAATGTACGGCAAACTGTTGCGCACCGCCAAGGAAATGAACATGACGGTGTTGCTGAAGCTGCTAGAAGCGCATCGCCGCACCATGGAGAACGTTAATCGCCAGCAACGGGTGAGTGGTGGCACGTCATCATTTGCTTACATATTTTGTAACTTTTTATTTTCTTTAGCCCCCTAGTCCGAAGGGGATTCGCCGGCGCACAGTAGGGCAGCCCAGTTCGGGTCTTCCACAACAGCGCGTCTTGGGTCCATCGCCACAATCGCGAAATTCCGCCACTCCCATCGCGCAACGGGCCAACACACAGCGCGGGCCCACTGGCAACACAATGATCCGAACATCTGGTGGCACAAATCGCTCACAATATGCAGAGAGTAATGTCAAGCAGGAGCCAACGTCTCCATTCGAGCAGTTGCGAAAGGGTTATAACAACAACAAGAGGCCAGCACAGACAAGCCTGCTATCGCCGCCATCCAAGAAGCCCAGCTTGGAAGAGGTTAAGGAATTCGCTGAGCAACAACGGATGCGCAAGCAAATTGCTGCGGAGTATGGAGATCACGATCCTGAGTACGATGGAGGAATGCTTTATGATGATGTTCATGCGGGGGACGATGATGACGACGATATGCCACCACAGCCATCAACATCTAAGCAGCAATCCCCACAGGGTACACAGACCCAGCTGGAGCACGGATCCACTACCATTATCTTGAAGCAGGACTCACCCAGCCAGACCCCAACAATAATTGTCAAGGATTCCTCCAACGCCAAGCTGAATCACACCAAGATCATTGCCGAAGTCTTGCGCCAATATCCACACATTGTGAAGGGCCACAAAAACATCAAGCTAAAGATAATGCCCAATACTCCACCAGCGCCGACAGAAAAATCTACTCCAGCAACAGTAAAACCCCCGGTAAATCAGGCATCCGCTTCTACATCGCCACACAAGAAATTGCACGTGTCTTTCAAAGCCGACAAGAGTACGCCGCTAATTACAGCGCAGCAGAAGGCGGCTAGCTCTCAGCAGAAATCCGGAACCACGCAGTCAACCGCTACTGCGGCTGTGGCGAATCCACCAGCAAATACAACCGTAGCCCAGAAAAGACGCATTGACAGTAAGACAATGCACGCCTTGATTGCTCAGGGAGCAGAGAATACTACTGGTGAGTAAAATATATATAGATAATAGTGTACCAAAAGGAAAGAGATGATTCCAGAGAAAAAACTATTAATAAAAATCTCTCTTTCAGGCCCCTGGCTGTGCCTAAGGTGCGGCGTAAACGGACGACCCATTAGCATTCCGTCGTACCGAGGTTTCCGACGCCATTTGATCAACACGCACAAAGAGACAATTGATCCGGCGCTATGTGAGCATTGCGGCTGGAGGTCTGTCAACAACCGGGAACTGCATTTCCACATGTATATGGAGCACCAGATCAAGTCGCTGCTGTACACTTTTGCCGAGTGCGCGCTATGCAACCAGTCGTACCTGACCAAGGGGGAGTTGGAGACGCACATAAACGAGGCGCACACGGACGACAACAAGCAGCAGTGTATCTACTGCAACAAGGTGTTCGAGCAAGAGCTACAGCTGTACAGGCACATGAAGAGTTACCACAAGGAGCAGGCCCTGGAGGATGGCATTATCGATGAAACGGACGAGGAGTTCCTCGGCTCGCAAGACGAGGAGGATGAGGCCGAAGGAGATGAAGAACAAGAACCAGAGCAAGAGCAGACTGGCAAAGTGCGAATCCTTTCGGACATAAGTCTACCAGCCACCAGTGCCATCACAGTGCAGCAAGCTCACCAGGAGCAACTGCAAGAGGAGGATGTTGATCAGGTGCAGCAGGAAGTTAAATTTGTGGGCGCCGATGGCAATGAGGTGGAGCTTACTGATGAGCAGCGCAAAGAGATTCTCTCACAGCTTAACCAACAGCAAGCAGGCGCCGCTGCTGGCGGTGTGGTAATGGTGCTCAGTGACCCAGATGCGGAGCCCGTCAAGCAGGAGGCCGATGAAAAATCCCTGGCCGGCACCGAAGAGGAGTATGATGACAGTCAAATCTATAGCGAACTGGCTGCTGCCGACTCTGTGGAGAGCACGAAAAAGAATATTGCTGATGAGAGCAAAGAGTCCGTTGACAATCTGGAATGGGCCGAAAACCTTATAGCCGAGTCTGAAGAACAAAGCAACAAGGAGGTAAGTTTGTTAAACATTTTTATGCAAGTACATCTACAACAGTCCTCCTTACAGCCCAAATTGGATAAGTCGCGCGATGCCATCAGTGAAAAGCTTAAGGAGCTTACCGGCGACTGGACGGAGGATGAGAACGATGACGATGTCGACGATAAGCCCGCTACCACAGAGCTTGCATCCGAACTAGCCGCCAAGGATCCTGAGCCAACAGTACAAGAGGAAGAAGATGATATTGACTTGGCTCTCCAGTCTCTGCACAAGGGACCTGAAGAGCAAGCTGTAGAAAAGGCTTGTGAGGAATCTGTCACCAGTGCGGATGATGCAGTTGACCCTGACGCTAATATAAATAATCAGCCCGAGAAAATGGATCTAGGCTCGGAAGAAGCGAACGAGAAGGCTTCAAAGTCAGAGGTCGAGATCAAGAAAGAGGATGAGCTTGAAAACGACGAAGAGGAATTTATCAAAGAAGATTCACCTATGCAGCATTCCGTTCCCGTGACGGAGTTAAGCGAGGCGGTAGTTGCCGCGGAGGGCGAAGATGATGTGCATCTGGAGGCCGTTAACATACACAAAAAACTGCTAGATGAATTGATTGCCGAGGCCGAGAAACCAGATGAGGAGAAGGACATTGTCCAACCTGAAGAGACTGCGACGACAGAGACGTTAGACAGAGCAGTAACGGACGAGGATGACCTGGTGCCACCTACGCAGCTATCCACCGACCAAATGGAGATTGATGAACCAGTAACGGAAAAAGTAGCCGAAAATAATGAAGATACTAGAACGACAGACGAAAAGGAAGCCGACGAGGACAAACCAAACGAGACACAAGATGTAGTAACAACAGAAGAGGCGACACTAGAAAGTGCAAAAGCAGGTGATGAAGCGACGTCAGGTGAAGCAGCCAGCGTAGACAAGGTCAAGAGTCTCATTAGCGAATGGGGAGACGACGATGAGGACGAGGATGAGAATGGGGTTAGTGCGGCGGCGAAGGAGGAGCTATAATTACTAGATTTATTTATGTTCTAAGTTTGGCGATTCAACGCAGGTCAGCAGATAAAAGCATCTGAGCTCGGCAAGAATTTTTGGTTTCTATTGTAAATTAAATTGTTAATGAAGATCAAGGTGAATGATAAGATACGCATATGCACTGGTTTAAGTGTATAAGATCTAATCTACCCATCTCACGTAATTGTAAATCCCCTCCCATCCCAAATATGTTGCGCTGATAGCACTGAAATCGTAAATCTAAGAGCAGTTTCCTTAAATGCCCTTAAATGAGAGATCAGAGACCAAACAACCCAACATTTAGCTATTTATGTGTGCCCGTTTCTTTACACATACACCACCAATAGAGCAACCAACCAACATTTCGCGATTAGGTAAACACTATATATATACAAATATGCCTATTTACATACATATAGAGATGTAGTTACATAGATGTTGTTTTAATTCGTTTAAAACAGTGACAGGATGTTCCCAGAAATTAATAAAATGATTGACGTTTTATGATTGGCTAAGTAATATTAATCAAAAAGAAAAAAGGATGCCCTTTTTTTTTGATTACCAACTTAATTGTAAGGTTTATTACATATAATAAAAGCATAAAAAAATAACATCAACTTTGGAGGAAGAAAAAATATAAATGTAGACGAGAAGGTTGCACTTTTTAACAAGCCATTTCGTTGGAAATGCACAAGTAACAAGTCTTATACAAGAGATTAACAGCTGCCAATCCATAATATTATCCTAAGTTTTCTATGCTTAAATAGCGGCACACTATGTCACGGCGATGGGAAGATTTCTTAAAGAAAAGCTTCCTATTCCTCATCTGCAATGGGGTGAAGAAAATAGGTCAGCAATGGCATGAGTGAAAATATATGCCATCATTCTACGCACCAGAAAGATAAAAGTTTATGATGCACATGGTGGCAAAGCCGGCGAGCACAGTTGCGAACTGTGCAAATCCCGCCCATCGTCTCGTGGAGTTTGAGTGCCAGCGCGCCTTCTCGCGGGGTATCACTTCACAGACGGTGACGTAGAAGAGTGTGCCTCCCGCCAGAGCTTGAACGACAGGCAGAGTTTTGCTGGACCAAGTGGCGGGCACATCCACGATAAGCATGCCCAGGCCAATGCCAATGACGGCTCCTAGGGCAAATACCGAAATGCCGACGAACTGGGCGCGAAAACTCGTCCGCGGACTCGAGCGGAACTCGAGCCCTAGACAAAAGCCCATTACGAACTTATGGCAGGCGACGGCCCCAAGAAGAAATAGAACCTAAGACGAGACAAAGCAGATTTCGGTTATCTAATTGGACTAAGCCCGCGCGTTTCTTTGCTTCAATATTTGCCTAAGATTGCGCACCATAGCTGATCTAGTCTAACTATGTCAAGGCAGGCGGCACAGACCTTTGTGGAAGAATTCTGGACGCCGATTGCAAGTCCTTCGATGGCAGAGTGCAGCGACAGAGCCACAAAGAGACCCAGGGTGCCGGTCATGGATTGGGCGCAGGGTTCCGTGTGGCTGGTATGGCAGATGCGGGCGTTGGCGTCCTCTACACTGGCGTCATTACAGCCAGATGCGGTGGCCGGGTGATCTTGGTCATGAACGCTGCTTAATCGAAGCACAAAGCAATTAGTTTTGGGTGTGGGCACGGAAATGCAATAAACCTACTGCCTGTGGTGGTGTGAATGACTATGCGACGTATTGGGCTCTGCTGATAAAAGGGGCGCTCGCTCGTCCACTGCGCCATAGCCATTGCCATTGGTGGGACGTCTTGCAGGCTCTGTTTCCGGAGTTTCCGCAGCCAGGGAATGAGTGTGCTGAATAGCCTCACCAAAGAAGTAGTGTATGAACTCGTCGATAAAGTAGATGATGAAGAACCCGCCGCACATGGCAACCTCAGCGAATTTCGAGTCCATTTGCTCGCGCACCTGTTGCATTCGTAAGTCAACAGGTTATCAAATTGCACCATCTCACGATCGCAGCCCCAGCTCACCTCGGGCAGAATGTGAACCAGTGCGGTGGCCAGCAGAATCCCCGCGCCAAAGCACAGGAGCAGGGATGTGGTCAGCGGGAAGCGGCGACGATTCCGCTCCGAAATAAAGGCGGGCAGCATTCCGGACAAGAGACTCCCGAGGCCCAGGACCAGCATAGCCAGCACCTTTTCAAGTTGGCCGCGACTCGTGGCAGCCAGAGTGGGGCTCGCAGTAATGTCCATGGGTAGACCGTCGGTTGGCAAGCTCATTGTATCAACTGCCAGACTGTGTCATCAAAAGTGGGCCAGTAAAACACACAAAAGTTCGTTGCATTTACTATTTTTAAACTAAACAGTTGCGAAGATAGCGCAGCTCTTTTCCAACGAAATGCCAAAACGCCTCACAAGTGGGGCTGCAAGAAAGTAAGGTCACACTCCAATTTATACATTCGCGGTTTTTTTCTATTGTATTTTTGTATCAATAGAACCCTTTTTTTAATAACCATCACCGCAATTAAAAATGAAAAAGGAAAGGGTAAGAAGCCATTCCGATACCTATTGTGGACTTCAACAAATTCTCCTGTAGTTAAAATTCAAAATTTTACCGTTCCTGTCCTGGTTGTCCGTTGGAATATGCATCGTCGTTGTATAATCTGTGGCCAGGAACCGGGTGAGCACTGCGTCTACCCACGTAACATGTCGGAGGCTCGCCGGTGGCAGAACCTGGCCAACCTCAGCAGCTTTGACGTGGACCCTGAGTCGCTGTGCCGGCACGGATGCGTTTGCGCCTCCCACTTGGACAGCCATGGATACGGCTCGGAATCGGAGAGCTCGTGTAGTGCTGCTGGCCGGGCAAGGGCTCCAGCTGGCTTGCAGAATTGGAGCTCTTCGGTTTCGGACGCCGGCCGTGGCTATCTCATCAACAAAAAGGGTATCGAGCGAGCGCAGAACCAAAGCAAACACAGTTTGGGTTCGGAGAGGCAGGAGTTTAGCAGCGCAAACAGATGTACTAATGGTTACTGTCGTTTTCGAAACACCTGCAACAGTATGTTCCCGAGTAATCCCCATACGTACACCCAAATGGGACAGAAGTATCCTAATCCACAGGCGCCAAGGGCCACCGGTTTAGACAACAAAAAGCCTCCTCCTATCAAAGTAAATCCAAGGGTAAATAGACCGTCCTTTGGAGCTGTAAATTGCACCTGTGATGGTTGCACCTGCACTTTCTGCCCAATGCAAGGGATCAAGAAAGCGAGAGAATCTTTAAAAGAATCAGGCAGCCAAGAAAGTATAAATAAGGAAAAAAGGAAGGATATTTCAAAAAGTACCCCGAAAAATCCGAGATCCTGTGAACGTCTTACTTGTCCAGCCTTCAGGTCAATGGAGTTGAAGACTCCAGCAGATGATTTCCGCACCACGCCTTGTAGTCTAAACTACCCGGTATCGCCAACTTCACGAGGAAACAACAGATTTACGAATTCGATAAAACAGCAAACCACATCGCAAAAGCCAGAGCTGAAGAGCGAATGCTGCCAGGCTTGCATTACCCAGCATTTGAAGGATCAGGAAGTGCAGTGCTCAACGGTAACTTTGCAGACTCAGAGCTCTTCCCCTGTTAGTCGACCCAGGATGGCCGCGTCGTTCAGCCATCAAACTGGAAGCTCAGCGACGGGCTTCTCTGCCGGCTATACCACTAATTCAAGTAACTTTACGTGTGGGGGCGGCGAGAGAAGAACGTCAAATGCTATCAACGTGCTGCTTATGAACGGCACCCGAAATAATGACTATGAAGATTCATGCTGCTCTCCGGCCAAGCAACGTCCCATGGCTCCGCCTCCGGAGATTTGTGTTCAGGAGTCCGATCTGACCGAATGCAACGAACGTGCTGTATTCCCGGAGATCGACAAGCCCAATTACAGAGTTTGCCGATCCTCGAACGAGACCAACGTTCTGGTACTGGAGGAGGGTCCTTTGGATAAATGCAACACCATCGCAGGGGAGGATGCGAATACAGTAGATAGCAAGACGCAGAGTCATAGCGATGCTCAGCAAAATCCCAACACGAGTAAAGAGCAACAGAATAATTCTCATACCAACTGGCTCGAGTCCGCAGCCACAAATAACTTCACCAAGGTTCTGGAATTGCAGAGATCTCGCATCAAGGAGCTGGAGAATCTGCTGGAGCAGCACAGCCTTCTGCAGCAGACCATCCAGCACAAGGTTGCGGAGCTGCAGTGCACGGATATACCGGATCCTAAAAATAAAACTAAATCATAAACCAAATACTCATCTAGTACGCGTATCCTTAAGGGCATTTAGTTGGTTTTCAAAGGGTGAAGAGTGGTTTATTCGCTATTACCGCTTGAATTCCAATACCAAACTTTCAGTTTGACCATCTAAATCAAGAGCAAATCCTTAAGAGTCTAGGCAGCGGTCTGGATGACATCGGTGTAGAGCTTGACCTTAGTGGCAATGCTCATGTCGACGTACTTGTCGCCAATGGAAACGATAAGGCCACCGATGATGCTGGGGTCCACTCGGGAAGTGATCTTCAGAGACTCGTTACCCTTCAGGAAAGACTAAAAAGGCAAACAACCCATAAATTGTGTTTGTGAAACAAGACAGATGAAAGGAGTAGCTACCTTAAGGGCACCCTCCAGCTGCTTGCTCTGGGAGGCATCCAAGGGCTTGGCGGTGACCACCTCGCAGACAACCTCACCACGGTGTGCGGCCATGATGGTCTTGTAGGCGTTGATCACGGTGTCCAGCTTCTTTAGGCGTCCGTTGTCGGCCAGCAGACCCAACAGATTGGCGGTGGCCGGGGCGAAGCGAAGCTTCTCGGATGCCTCCTTCAAAGCCGTGGCCATGACCTTCTTGTTGATGATGGGGCTGGTCACGTACTCGCGCAGCTTCTTGTCGCTACGGATGGTAGCCTGCAGGGCTGTCAGATCCTTCTCCACCTGATCCAACTGGCTCAACTTGGAGGCAGCCGAGTACAGAGCGGTAGCATAGCGACCCTCCAGTCCGAACACCTGCACTGGTGGCTTCACCGTCGCCTGGGCGGCAGCGGAGCTGAGGGTGCGGCTCTGCGGGATTAGCAAAAGAAAGCACTTGGTGAGTTCTTCAACTTAATAAACATAAGCTACCCGTGTTTCGTGGGTTAAGGTGGGCAAAAATTACATAACCAAGAAACGCGCGTTAGATAATTGTACATATACGACAGCGGATTGCACAGGCAATAATAACTTGACATGCTCTTGAAATGGCTTGGCATAGACCGGAGGTTGTCCATTTTTTTTTCCTATTTATTCACGTTTTAACATACCAAAATTGCCAATTTGTTAATACAGGCCATCGTTTTTATCCCGACAATTTTTCAGCTAAAAATCTCAGCTGTGACCAGGGCTACGTTACTCGTTACTCGACACGAACCAGGGTTGTTTTGAGTAATGTAAGGGCTGCATGGCAGCTATCGATTACAAAAAATAGCTAGTTTCGAAATTGTATACTAGCTAGTTTCAAAAATTCATATTTTTATTAGATTTTATATTCACACTACTGACTTAACTATTTCATGAAAACCTCCAGACCATCTTAATGGTAACACCTTTTGTATCATAGAGATGGCTTAAGTAATTTTAAAAGCATCAAAATTAATTCTATCATAGTATTCGATTGACGTCTTTTTATTTGTTTTAAATTATTTTAATGGTGATTCATATTGATTTTCTGTTGCCTTTTAATGCAAATACGCATTTTGTTTAGATCGAAACCTAAATATGCCAGAAAATTTGCAATTATGTTAATGTTGCATAACCACCGGGAAAACTATATTTGCAAGTGGTTAGAAACACTGTGGGCTTTCGGTTGGGAGCGATTTGAAATTGCATGAATCAGTTTACTTGTCATCTAAAAAGGGTTAGACTGTTAGTAAATCAGTTCTGTACAAAAGACACTCCATTAGCTAACCTTCATCCTCGTCTTCTTCCTCGCCTTCTCCATCCTCACCATCCTCGTCGTCAAATGCCTCCTCCTCGTTATCATCGTTGTCCTCCTCGTCCTCAGGCTCCACCTCGATATCAGGTACCAGATAATACTGCAGTGGATTTGGCCAAAGGTCGTCCTTTATCAGTTCTGCGATCTCGTCGTTAACGGGATCGGTGTTATCCGAGAACCAATCAAAGAAGGTTTTGTACTCGGAGTTGCGCTTCTTCTTGTTTCCGTAGGGCTTCGTCAGCAGCAGTTTGAGCAGGTTCTTTCCCTCCTTCCATTTGATGGGCGTGCTAGTGGACGCGGGCCAGTCGCCGTTCTCAGAAGCAGCTTTATTTGAAATAGTAATAGGTTGGTTTAGCGGATTTGAACAAATATCTTTCACAACTTACCCGCTGAATTCAGATGGAACTCTTTGGTGAGTACCTTGTTTTCGAAGTAAGGATTCTCGTCGAAATGGAAGTTGATGCGGTATCCGGATTTTATGTCCTCGAACTCCTCCACCTCAAGTTTGTTAAGAGCGTGCAGGCACTCCTCCTCCTCCTCGTCCAGAATGCCGGATACTTGCGGGTGGTTGATGAACTGCACGGATGGTAGTTAAGATTAGCAAGGCGGTGCATGAATCAGAAAGCCATGTTTATGGCACTGCATTACAATTTCCCATTCTAATAATGCGAGGAACTATTCTTCATTAGTTAAAGTCAATTTAAAGACATTTCGAACTGGGCTAAGTTGTGTACATATTTCCCGGTTAGGCCCGCCAGACGGATGTATCGATAACACGATTTTTCCGGGAGGGGGCAAATGCGCGGGGAGCCGGCGGTGTCCGCATTACAGCCCAAGATGAGCAAGAAAAAATTCCTCGAATAGAGAAAATTTCGTGTACATGTGTGCTGGGTCACAGAAGTCATTATCACCATTTTTCAGGGCTTCAAAAGATCTGGGCGGCTCTGACGGAACCCAGCAGACGGACACGCGGACGAGGCAAACATGGCCGCGGAGCGAATAACTCACCGAGGTCACCCAGAAGTTGGGAATGAGCTTGACCAGCTCGCTGCGTTTATCGTAGCAGGGCTTCCGAAGCTTGTTGTACTTCTGCTCCACCTTGAGGATCTCCTCGCTGGCCTTCTCGTTCAGCGCATCGATCGCGTTCTGGCAGGCATCAATCTGTTCCAGCGCCTCCGACTCCTCCTCGTTGTTGCCGGCGGCGGCGGATGTGTTGCCATCGGCGGGGGCGCCGTCCAGCTTGGCTCGCTTTGGCACGCTCGACATTCTGCTCGTTTTTTCTGTGTGTGCGGTCGTAATTCCCGAGATATTTGATCAAACAGCGGCGGTACAGTTGAGCTGAAGAGTAGCGAAGCGGATTTTTTACCTTCGTTTGCGGCTGCGGAGCTGTAAATGTATCGATAGTAAAACGCTCTATCGATAGAGGCCGCAGTCGGCCAACAGCGACGCTGCGTAACACTGGCCAAGTATGATTACAGTACTATCGATATTGTCGGGTTCCATCGTTCTTCGATATCGAGATTTGATGCCGAGCTGTAATAGCTGAAAATTAATTTTATAATTTTGCATACGCATCGTTTTGAAAAACATCAGCAACATGGCCACGGCTGAAGCCCAAATCGGTGTGAACAGGAACTTGCAGAAGCAGGACCTCAGCAACTTGGTAAGCAGCCCAGAAAGACGAACGCCAGACGCCGCCTGCCCTTTTTTTCCGCCCGTGTGTGAAAGTGTACGCGTCGTCATTGTGGAGTCGCTTCCCGGAAAAACGGCGGTGCGTGGGACGCAAGGACGCGCCCATATTGTCTTGAGCGGTCCACGGGACGGTTTTGCAGGATATACCAGTGGGTTTGGCCTAGGCCAGCAGTGATTTGTTGTGGGTGAGAAACCTTGGTGAAAATGCAGCACGTGGCGCTACATTTAAGGTCTGTTTGGTTTTCCCCGCGATTTTGGCTCTGCATATGGGCATGATGCTGCCCTTGGCGGTATTTGGGCCGCGACAAGCCGCTCAGTTTTGCGAGGACTGCCCGACTGTTGTCATCCATATAGCTGATGCAATTCAAGCGACATTCTAACCTCAAAATCCACGGCTTTCGTACATACACACATGCAGCTGAGGGAGGGTGTTTTGTCAGGGGGTGTGGCGGTGGTAAACAAGACTTATGCTCTGCTTTCCCTTTGTGGATGCGGCTTTATTAATCACATGGTATTTGGAATCTTGCAGGACGTCTCCAAACTAACGCCTCTGTCACCGGAGGTCATATCCCGACAGGCGACCATCAACATTGGCACCATCGGTCATGTGGCTCACGGCAAATCCACAGTGGTCAAAGCCATCTCCGGCGTGCAGACTGTGCGCTTCAAGAACGAACTGGAGCGCAACATCACAATCAAGCTGGGTGAGTCAGGGATCCGTGTGAGCTAGTCATAGTCCAAGATGTATTTTTCTACTCGACTATAATTTAGCCTAGCCGTATGTTAATTCTTTCTGCTCACCTGTAAACCCCGTAGTACCCTAAGATTGTACACCTTCTCGGCTGGCCGAAAATAACCCATAATTATCTTAAGAACCCACTATTTAACACCGTTGCGCGACGGCACACCGCGTAGCCAACTCTGTCGCTGCTTTAAATCGAGATATAATCGAGTTGGAAAAGGGTTCTGCGAATGATTGTCTCTTCTAATTCCAATTCCTGTGTATTTTGTTTACTTAAATTGCTGGATTAGTACGCGTTGCCTTGTGTCGTCGCCCAAGTAGACTAAAATGAAAAAAGAAGTTGTCTTTAGAATGTTGTACTTTACAAGGCTTAATTAAAAAGCGTTCCCAAAAATTGGTACTAAGAATATCTTCCTGTTAGCTTAGTTTTGAATCTGTTACCTTGAATGATACGACTGATAATCCAGCAATTTAATTAATTGCCAATCTTTTTCTTCTTTTTCCCTATTTCTCCTGTTTTTTCGTTTTTTTCGGTTGCGACGCGTCCACAAAAAAAAAAAAAAAACACCGAACCCACCATCCAATCCAAAATTGTCCAAAAATTGTCATTTGCAGAACGCTTAAGCGAAAAGAAACTCAAAAAACTTTTGAGCTCCAAGCAGCAGCGACAGCAGTATGAAATCAAACAGCGTTCACTGCTGCGGCATCTGGCCGAAATGAGGCGGCATAGCCGATTCCGCCACCTCTGTACGATGCAAGCTTCGTTTTCCATGCCAGCATCCGCCTCCAGTGTAGATAGACGCACCACCCGGCGCAGCACCAGTCAGACCTCACTGAGTCCCAGCAATAGTAGCGGCTATGGCAGCGTTTTCGGCTGCGAGGAACCTGATGTGGACAAATTACACAGTGTCAAGGGATTCGCCAATCTAAAGCGTCGACGCAGCAGTATTGTGGGCACCCCAACTCCCTTCTCCAAGCGGTCGAAAAATAACGAGGGACTAATAGTCAAAAAGCCACCCAAAGGAGAATATGTTGTGGAGCGTATTGAATGCGTCGAGGTGGACCAATATCAGCCTGTTTTCTTCGTCAAATGGTTGGGATACAAGGACAGCGCGAACACTTGGGAAAGTCTTGCCAACGTGGCCGACTGCGCCCAAATGGAAGAGTTTGTGGAGCGGCATCAGCAGCTTTACGAGGCATACATAGCTAAGATAACTACCGAACTTGAGGAACAGCTGGAGGCCTTGCCGCTAATGGAGAACATTACTGTGGCCGAAGTAGATGCCTTTGATCCCCTCAATCTGCAGCTTGATCTTATCCTACTTGCCCAATATCGCGCTGCTAGCAGTCGAAGCCAAAGGGAGCCGCAGAAAATTGGAGAGCGAGCTTTGAAACGTATGCAACTCAAGCGGGCCCAATTTTCACGGCGCAAACAGCTAGATGATTTAGCATCGTTCGAGAAGTGTATGAATCGTGTGGAGAAACCATCACCCCCAATACGCGTTGAGAATAACGTAGATCTAGACACCATAGACAGCAGTTTCAAGTACATACATGAAAACATAATTGGCAAGGGTGTGCCCAAGCCGGAAGCGGGGCTTCTAGGCTGTAAGTGCATTGAAGAGAATGGCGTGGAGGAGTGCACTGCCTCTACGAAGTGTTGTGCCCGCATGGCCGGCGAGCTGTTCGCCTACGATCGAAGCACACGACGCCTGCGCCTTCGTCCCGGTGGCGCCATCTTCGAGTGCAACAGCCGCTGCTCGTGCGATTCAAACTGCTCCAACCGACTGGTGCAGCATGGTCGCCAGATACCGTTGGTGCTGTTTAAGACCAGCAACGGCAGCGGATGGGGGGTGCGAGCCTCAACTGCCCTGCGTAAGGGTCAATTTGTGTGCGAGTACATTGGGGAGATAATAACCAGCGATGAAGCAAATGAGCGCGGCAAGGCGTACGACGACAAGGGAAGGACATATTTGTTCGACTTGGATTACAACACAGCTCAGGACAGCGAGTACACTATCGATGCGGCTAACTATGGCAACATTTCGCACTTTATCAATCACTCTTGCGATCCGAATCTCGCCGTGTTCCCCTGCTGGATCGAGCACTTGAATGTCGCCCTGCCGCACCTCGTGTTCTTCACACTACGTCCAATCAAGGCAGGGGAGGAGCTGAGCTTCGACTACATCCGCGCGGACAACGAAGACTTGCCCTACGAGAACCTCTCGACGGCTGTGCGCGTCGAGTGCCGCTGCGGAGCAGATAATTGCAGAAAGGTCCTCTTTTGAACGGACTTGAACGTATTTTGTTATCCACCTTAAACATCATTGAATTAAACTTTTTTTTTTTCAACATATTAGTTACTAGTTGGAGCTTGCCGGCCATCTGTAAGCTGATTTTATGTTACGAACAATTAATTGATGGTATTTTTATTATTTATTTGTTAATGAAATCGAGTGTCGACGTATTGGATCTATAATTTTTTTGAGCAAGATACTAGACTAGAGAATAGAGGATAAATTAGTAATTTGTATAGTTTTTACATGTAATTTTATACATTTCATAATCATTAATATTAAACTAAGATTACCATAGTAATTGGACAAACACCTTTGTAATGTGCTGAAATTAATTACCGTATAATGTGCAAATAATTATTTCATAATAAATACCCTACGATTATTGATGTTTGAGATGTTTGTTTGTATACGGCTTGAAGAGTGAAAGAAGTTAGCAATAGTACTTAATTCCTTGTCGACAACAAAAATTACATATTGGAATAATTTTACGTGTTGGCCAGGTTAGGAGAATTTAATGTAATATTCTTCATAATATTTTTCGCAATGCTTCTAGGTTATGCCAACGCCAAAATCTACAAGTGCGACAACCCCAAGTGCCCGCGCCCGGCCAGCTTCGTATCCGATGCATCTAGCAAGGACGACAGCTTGCCCTGCACCCGGCTCAACTGCTCCGGCAACTTCAGACTGGTGCGACATGTGAGCTTTGTGGATTGCCCCGGTCACGACATTCTTATGGCTACCATGTTGAACGGCGCTGCTGTGATGGACGCCGCTCTGCTGCTCATTGCTGGTGAGAGACCCATGTTCTTTAGGAGCCTACGCAAGATTTTTTAATACTACCTTTTTCGTGTGCAGGCAATGAATCCTGTCCACAACCGCAAACCTCTGAGCATTTGGCCGCCATTGAGATTATGAAGCTCAAACAGATTTTGATCTTGCAAAACAAGATCGATCTGATCAAGGAGAGCCAGGCGAAAGAACAGTACGAGGAGATCACCAAATTCGTCCAGGGCACCGTAGCTGAGGGCGCTCCGATCATTCCGATCTCAGCCCAGCTTAAATACAACATCGATGTGCTCTGCGAGTACATTGTAAACAAGATCCCAGTACCGCCGCGCGACTTCAACGCCCCACCCCGTTTGATCGTCATCCGATCCTTTGACGTGAACAAGCCAGGCTGTGAGGTGGCAGACCTGAAGGGCGGTGTGGCCGGTGGCTCCATCCTGAGCGGCGTTCTTAAGGTGGGTCAAGAGATCGAGGTGCGTCCGGGCGTCGTGACCAAGGACAGCGATGGCAACATCACCTGCCGTCCAATCTTCTCCCGTATCGTCTCGCTCTTCGCCGAGCAGAACGAGCTGCAGTACGCCGTGCCCGGCGGTCTGATTGGTGTTGGCACCAAGATCGATCCTACGCTGTGCCGTGCCGATCGATTGGTTGGTCAGGTGCTAGGTGCTGTTGGCCAGCTGCCGGACATATACCAGGAGCTGGAAATCTCGTACTACCTGCTGCGTCGCCTCCTCGGCGTCCGTACCGATGGTGACAAGAAGGGAGCGCGTGTGGAGAAGCTGCAGAAGAACGAAATTCTTTTGGTTAACATCGGATCGCTCAGCACTGGAGGCCGCATCTCTGCCACCAAGGGTGACTTGGCCAAGATCGTTCTTACGACGCCTGTGTGCACGGAGAAGGGCGAAAAGATTGCACTCAGCAGACGTGTGGAGAACCATTGGCGGTGAGTATACAACTTATACATAATGTCTTCAAAATCACAACTTAATGATATATTCCCCTTACAGTTTGATTGGCTGGGGCCAGATCTTTGGAGGCAAGACAATCACACCCGTTTTGGACAGTCAGATAGCAAAGAAGTAGAACTTAGTTAGGTCCGAATGGTTCTACTTTTAGGAACAACACCAGCGACAACAGTAGCCGCATCATCTTTATTAGGCCTCTTCGCCCTGCTCCTTCTTGTCCCACAGCTCCATTCTTCCTGTGTCCGTTGATCAAACCGCAACTAATTAGTACCAACATGAAATACATACCTAACTTAATTTATTGAATTTTGTTGTCGAGTATGTATATAAAATGAAAACACACGATTCGCTTGCGAGTGTTGTGCACCTATAGCAGAATCAGGCATTACAAAAGCAACTAATAGGGTATACCTTATATATTATAATAACTAAAAGCAAATCTGATACATCGTAAAATTGTTTTTATGATTTAAATACAAAAGAAAAACTAAACGAAAAAAAAAACAAATTGTATTGCATTTTTTACAATGAAAACCTCAAGAACTGACTTCTTATTTTGGGATTGTTGGAATGGATTCCGTTGCTTAATTCTACAAATCGTGTAAAGAACTCAGAGAAGTAAGCCACATTATGTGGAGAAGAAGTATAGACGAATTCGTATTAATTTTTCATTATAGAGCAATTTATTTTTCCACTTTTAGTTCAATTAAATTTAAATAGTTACAATACGATGTTTGTTCAATAACACATTGATACTCGTAATATTCTGTTGTTTAAGCAATTATTCATACAAATCTCAATATCGTTTTTGAAACACAATGTCCGTCATCAGTCGGTACTCGACGTCGACATCAATTGTGTTGAATAATTTTTGAAACGGTTTCTTTTTTCGATTTGGTAAATTTGTTTTAACTATAGCACACTAATTTAAAGTTAATGTATTTTTTATCTTTTCGTAATTTTAAACTACTATTACCAAGTACGTGTTAGTTTAATATTTGGTTTCTTGAGACTTCTTTTATTAGTAAATATAGCTTATTGAATAAAAATTCGTACTTAGCCGTGATGTACATATGTCGTTTTGGTTTTACGGTTGAAACTAAATTTTGATAAATGACTCTCACTAATAAGTATATTTGAAAAACGTTTGATTTCGTTCGTTAATACTATTGAGTAATTTCTGTAATACTTGTAATTTCAGTTTGCTAAATTACGCCCCCGAAACTGGGGAACACGATTGCGTTGTGGTCAGTACACGCTTTGAGCATTTGATAACAGAGTCAAGTCTTCGTTGAACATACATTATCCGAACTTAAACAACAAATTGTACAATCCATGCTTGTCGGTCCGGTCGGCATATAGCTATTTTGAGCATCCGTTGAACACAATAGTTTTCAGGTCAGAGATCTATTACAACCAAAAGCGGAACAAGAACCGTTCTCGAGCACGTCTTCCTCATCATCTTGTCATCCGAAGGATTACCTAACTTAGGGAAGAACTGAGGACAAGGCAAACCAGGATAACTTACTGTGTAGTATCTATTCGGGTGTATCTCTGGCTTCGACTAATTGCTTGAGTAACGCCTGGCTTAGTGTGGCTACGACTAGTTTTGCAAATTGATCGAATCAAACAATTCATTCGCCCATTTCTTGTGGGGATCTCTTGCTCCTCTACCTGTATTCCATGTACATTCCATGTATAATTATATCGTGCTTATATCGTTGGCATTAGACTGTCTAGGACCCGCCCAATTCAAGAAGTAAACGAAAGTTATTCTCTAGCAAGTCCTTCGTTATCGATCAGGAAACCGTCTAATGTCTATTAAACCCCACACAAAAACGACTGGAAACGATTTCTTACTCCTAGATACTCTGATACTGATTTATGCAGTTTCATTTTATATGGTACATTCATTGATTTGACTGGGAAAAGATAGAAATTTAGAAGTTGGAAAAGCATCTGTCGGTATGCCGACGTTTTATATAAAGCGGGAATGAAATGGTAATGAGCTTTCAATTTAAATTCGTATCCTATGGTTTTCCTCTATTTATGCATGTATGTCTATGTCAATTGGTTTATTCTAGAGTTCATATGTGCAATGTGGGTGCATTTTGGGGATGAGCAGCAGGGAAAATACGTTGAATTTTGGTCAGCTTCCTCTAGTTGTATATAAAACTTTAATTTCTTACATTCATTATTTAAATATTACATACATACACAGTTATTGACAGTTAACGTTGGCAAAATGGCAGATGGCAGTAGGGTTTGACATCTTAATGATCAATTTCATATACGCTAAGTATTCAACAGTTCCGCTAATATCTTCATAATGCATTGGTTATAATTGATTTTATGCCCGCTCTAACTTTGCTTATTCTATCGTTTCATATCATATCGTATGGTACAGATTCAATTACATACGTACAAAGATATACAGGTGCATAACAAACACGCAGATTTATATGCCGCTTTTGGGTTGAGTATCATTAGTCATGGTTAAATCTAACAATCAGTTGGTTACCGTCTACAAATATTTAATGACACGATTTTATGCAGTAAACGGTTAAACGCTTAATATTCTTATATACAGGATCTATCTCTCGTTGCAGCAGCAATTGGTTGGTTACCTAAGTTGATTAGCCTTCCGAGGGCGGGGAGTTGGGTGTCGTGTGGTTTTGGAGCCTGCGTTTTCTTTAGGATGCTTTTCTGGCCGGGGATCGGGCATCTTAAAGAAAATGGCTTAAATCTCATTCGTTGATGTCCTCATCCGACGAGCTCGCAGCTGGAATCGTCGAGACCTGCCACTTCTCCCGGTTGTTATTCTTGCTATCGTATCGATAATTGGGATATAAAAACAAATTTAAATTACTAATTGCATTTGCTTAAATGGTTGTACTGAATCCAGTATACTATTTAATTCAACAACTATAGTTTGCTATATACACGTAGATTTGTATAAACTCACCCATGCTTTTTTGCATTGCTGGGCAGAGTGTGCGAGCTGCGGTAGTAGCTTTCCATGGGCTCCTCCTTGGTCTCCTCCAGCGACTTCCGCTGCAGCGTCATCGTCTCTTGGTGCGAGTTTGCGGATCCGCCGCCGCCTCCGCTCATTTCCGCATCCAAGTAGTACTTGGCGCTCTGCGCAATCTTACAGTTCTCGCACTCGCTCAGGTAGTCATCGTCCAGACTGGTGTCGTTGGGCAGGAAGTGCTCCTTGGGGTTCAGGCAGTTCTTTGAGGTGGTACACACGGGTAGCTGTTTGCTGGGCGACCGTCCGCTGGATCCTCCTCCGGTGGTGGCCTTCGTCGTCAGCGGGTAACTGGGCATTTGGCAGTGGGCAATCGCCAGACCGGTGGCAGTCCCTCCTCCTCCCGATCCCGATGATGTGTCCCGTTTCACGCGCAGGATCTTTGGCAGTGTGGTGCTCTTGGCCGGCACTCCGGTCTGGCCACCCGGATTGTTGTTCTCCACCGGCGGAATGCTGATCACCGAGGGCACCTTGCTGACCACACTGTTGATGGTGCTGTTCAACGACACTTTGCCGCTGATGTGCTTGGGCAGGGTGTAGGTCACGTGGTTGGCCAACGGATAGAAGGTGCTCGAGTTGATCTTGCCGCTGGCCAGCTTCTCTCCAGCTCCTGCGGCAGGGCTGGCCGGCGGCAGGGTCAGCGAGGGAGTCTGCTCCTTGCGCTGGCCACTGGTCGCCGGCTTGCTCAGCGTGTAAATGGTGGCCACGGCGTTGTTGTTCCCGCTGCCGGACGAGCAGGAGGACGAGGATGTGCCCACCACGGTGGCGCTCTTTAAATTCGTTAGGCTTTTGTAGAGTTTCGGTGGTAAAGTCGGATTGCTCGGATCTGGCTGCTGCTGCTGATTTTGCTGGTTAAAGAAATGTTGCTGCTGTTTCTGCGTCAAACTCAAGTAAGCATCAACCTAGAAAATAAAGCTAGATTAGCAGAGGCGCCAAGGAAAGCAGAAATCGAGGAATGAAACCAAAGATAACCATATGCCTTGTATGCAGCAATCAAAAAACAATCAAGTCCCTTTCCAATTTAGCATTCGATTCATTCCCCGCCTTATCAAGCTCTCTCAAAGGGATTACTTACATTTCGAACTCACCTTTCTATTCAAATAGACGCTGGAGAGGGAATCGCCACCACTGCCGCTAGACACACTGCGTCCGCCACTACCTCCTCCGCTGGAGCTCCTTCCCCTTTCGGCAGAATTGCTAGAGGATCGCTTTTGCACGCGACCCAGGACAATTGGCGGGGCAGACACCTCTTCGGGATGCTGCAGCGGGGGCGGGGGTATAATAGCCGACACATTGACCCCACCGCTGGATGCCGTATGGCCATGATGCGTCTCATCGCCCACCTGCTTGGAGATGGTGGCTATCTTGGGCTCGTGTCCACAGCCACTTCGTCTCAAAGTTCCACCACCCGAAGCAGCTGCCGTTATCAGATCCTGCGCCTGCAGGTTCGTCGAGGACTTAGCTCGTTGCCCGTAGGACAAGGTGGCCGCATGCCGAACTCCACCGGTTGCCACCGCTCCCGGTGACAGGGAACAGGTCGGTGTTGAGGTGCTGCTGCTGCTCGAGTTACCGGCGAAAAGTTTGCCGGCTCCGCTCAAGAAAGCATTCGCGTTGGCCGTGCTGCCCATATACGACATGGGCACGTGCTGGATAGGGCACTGGCACATGGGCTTCTTACTGCCCTGCTGCTTATCACCAGTGGATGTGGCACTACTGCTGGTCTTGGGTTTCAGCTGGAGAGGGTCGGCAACGGCGAAATAGCGAGGAATAGTGCGGTGATAGCGCCTCGAACTGGAGGGTGTCTTGCTTATCTGCTGTGGCTGGCTGTTCTTCAGCGTTCCGTGCAGAGGCATCTGTGTGGTCTGGGTCACCGAATCCGCTGTGCTGCATACAGGTGCCGACGATATTGTGGCTATCTCTAATGGCTGCAGTATCTCCATGCCCGGCGAGGATATGGCCGCCAGCATCTGTTGTTGTTGTTGTTGTTGTTGTTGTTGTTGTTGCTGCTGCTGCTGCTGCTGGTGCTGCTGTTGTTGATGCTGCAATACTTGGGAGTGTGTGGGTGTGGCCATAAGTTCCCCACTACCGGCTGGCAGGGTATGATAACTTGCGGCACTGGCACTAGCATTTATCTCCACATCGGCTACGGTTAGATACTGTTGCTGCTGTTGCTGTTGCTGCTGCGGCAACTGATGAAGCAACTCCTGGGATCCCCGGGGAGTTGTCCTTCGGCCAGCCGTATAAGCCGCCGAACTGGAGCTGGCCGCCGCAGTAGTAACACTGGCGCTAATGTTTAGATGGCAGTTCTTGTAACTGCACTCGGCGGAGACTGGCGGCTTGGGCATCGCCTGGAGGCAAATGGATCCACTGCTGACAGGAGGCTGTATAAGATGCTGCTGCGCCTGCTGCTGCTGGTGCTGTTGCTGTTGCTGCTGCTGCTGTTCCAGACTGAGTTGGTGATCACTTTGCAGGCTATAAGGCGGCTGGTGATTCTCCCCGGTGGCTATTGTAGTCACCCCGCCACTATTGATGTTAATGTTAATTAAGTTGGTGGTGCTCTGTGTATACTGGTTTGACTGGGGCAGCACATTGGCCGTGGAGTGTGGATGCTGTGGATGCGGATGGGCCACCAGCTGCTGGCTGTATGGCTGGTGGTGCTGCTGCGGCTGAGTGTGCAGCTGGAGAGTGTGCTGCTGGAGATGCTGATGGGCCTGCACCTGGGCCTGGATCTGTTGCTGTTGCTGGGCTTGCGCTTGGGCTTGAGCTTGAGCCTGGGCTTGTGCCTGGGCCACCGCCTGTTGTTGCTGTTGGCTGACTGTGGCTACCGTTCGCTGGGAACTCGCCGGCAGGCTGACGGTGCACTGGGCACTAAGGGCCTCCGCCTGGGAGATGGCCACAGCCTCCTCGTACGGCGGGGGAGCCTCACCACGCGGAAAATGCGGCTTCCACAAGGGATAGTGGGTGGCGGCGCCGCTATAGGAATAATCAATGGCACTCAGATTACCCTCCATGTAACCCATGTTCCCGGCTATGTAGCTGTATGGACATTAGAAAGACATTAAAGGGTCTGGGCAGAAAGAGCGTTAAAGGGACACTTACCCTATGCTGCCCACAATACTGCGCTGGTCCTCGGCATTCTGGCGATTCTCCCGCGCCCGCATCTTTCGCTGCCTCAGGCGATTCACCAGAAAGAACAGCAGCGACAAGGACAGCGTGGCCGTGATGCCACTGGCCACCAGTCAAATGCCGAAGTCGGTGCTCCCATCGCTGAATTGGTCGTCCAGGCAGATCACCTCGCAGCAGTTGTTGCCACTGCCCACCGTCTGGAAGGACTTGCACTTGCTAAACGCCTCGCACAGCACCATCTTGCACGCCTTGGGCAGTCCGCTGTCGCAGATGCACAGGCGACATGAGTCCGGTCCTGGCATATAGTGCATGCCAGTCTCGTACATCTTTCCATTGTAGTCGCGGCAGGAGCCGCCGGGGATCAGGCTCGAGCTCACCGCATTTCCATCTGGGAAAAGGAAAGAAATTCGATTGTGAGAAGTATTATAGGATTCATTGGCTTAAATAGGTAGACGAAAATAATCTGCTTAAATATGACTTTCAGATTATTACACATAGATGTACAATTACTATAGTAAATACTTATAATCCGAACATTTGTTTTTTATTAACAGAAGGTCGTTTATAAATTCATGTAAATCACCAAAAATAATATCTTTTATTCAACGTTATACACTTCATTAGCGCATTCTTTTTGGTGGTATTGGTTTATATTGGTTAATAGCTAATGGTTTTAGTTTCACACATATTGTTTCACATGTTTTATAAAAATTGCACTTAATAAGGAATCGGCTTCAACGATTAAGAAATTAATAAATACTAAGAACATTAGCTGGCAGAATTAATTTAGTTTGTATTGTGACCAACAAAATACTTGACTAAGGACCTTGTAGGGCATACATACAAATGCATGTGTTTGAATAGAATCCGTACGAACGTATATATTTGCACCTATAATGCACTCCCGATGGTAGCTGAATTCTTTATTTTGACACACTTGACCAACTTTCGCCTTTGCTGATTTAGCATTGGGCCACCAAATCACACATACACACTCAAGAGCATTGCCACAGTGCAGCAGGTGCTGTAAATACTCTCAGCGAAGAGTGGGAGACGAGCGAAGAGGATGCAAGGAGGACAATATTTATCACTTGAATGAAATTAAATGCAAACGCGTAACATTTTCGACATCATTTAAATGCTAAACAGCAAAAGGAAATTCAAATTAAAAACAAATATATGTGTGTACAGTACACACGCCCACACAGACACGGACTGCATATGTTTGGTATACATGCGTGTGCAGCAGGAAAGCAAATTTCTGGGCAGGAAACGCACGAACGAAAATGGCAAACAGGCGTGCGTTACGCCCCCGCAAGGAAAAAAATCGGAAAAATATCACATACAAAAAAAGTTTGTCTTTTATTCGAGAGTTTCCAAGTGAAACTCGCGTCCGAGTGTGTGTGTGTGTGCAATAAATACATACACGCGAGACAAACACATGCTCAGTTCACACCCATACAGTCGAGGCGAGTATACATGCAAAAAATAAACACCATACACACGCACCCCCAAACAACCGCCCACCAGCTCCACACACACAGGCCTGCAAGTTGTTCTGGGTGTTACACCTGGAGACATAGGTATATTAAATAGAGATAAAATGACTAGGAATAAATGACGATTATGTTTTAAATGTTTATCTTCCTAGAATACCCAGATATTTTCAAATAAATTAATTATTGTGAAAGAAAAATATTGATACTTTTAAAATATGTATTAGCACACCAACTTTTCTTTCAGCGCAGAGCAAGGCGAAATTTTGCAGGGCACTTCCTTCGTATTGCCATTTCCCCACCCAAAAGCCGTTATGCTGTGTCCCCTTTTCTCTCACACACGTTCTCTCTCTCCTCTCTCTTCTCTATGCTTTCGCTTTGCAGGAAAAGAGCGAGCATGTGGGTTGGTAGTAGTGTGCCCTGCCAAAGTGTGTGTGTGTGGCTCGTGTCCCATAAATTGCGAGCTGTGTGGCCATGGACCATATTTCCAATTATCACAGAAGGAGCCAAGGAATCGAAATAGATTTAGCATGAAAAACCTCTTCGCTGTCCGCTGTCAAGGAGTTAATCCTTGTACCGATTGCAGATATTCACTTATAACAAGGATATGGGGCTGAAATTGCATGGGCCCGCATGTGTATATGTGTGTATGTGTATCAAATTTTTCACACCAGTTTTTCCCACTTAGAACCGTTACCTTTGGCATTTCCAATGAACGCAAGCAATGCCAAAAAATACATATTGCACGCGTTAGTTAGCACTCAGCACGCCACAATTAATGAAACTTTGCTCAGTTTGCCACAAAACTTATATCCAACAATTATTTCCAACAGTTTTTTGCGAACGTTCGAGCAATACCAACAACCACCGACGACGACGAACCGAACGGGAGTTTTCGCACAGACATTACATTCCAGGGCTGGCGATCTCGGTACCGTTATCGTGGCTGATTGCCACGAACCGGTTCCAGGGCTGAGTCAAACATTTTGGTGGGTGGTGGTAACGGTGGACAAAATAACGGTCGCTTAAACTTGGGCACCAAAAGAATCTAAATTTATGTTTAATACATTTAATATAATTAATGAGTTTTGTATCTATGAAATTATCTCTCCTTCTTTTCGAATCCTTTTTATATAAGTGTAGCATACTTTTCAGGAATAATCTTTGTGTGTTAACTAAATTTCCTATGGTATACTGCCAACTGCACAACGGCAAAATCTAACCTTAATATTATAAGCAGCAGTATTTGTAATGCCCCCTGGTACATAAGGACTATAAACATTGAAAAATCCCAAAACTAGGCGATGTTTGTCGGACAACCGCTGAAAATTACTTTATACGTCTTGGGAACCAACTAAAACTTCGCGAGTTTAAAATAGATTTTAATTTATTGACGCATTCTAACAGCGCTTGGAGTTCCACTGATAGGTAAATTCAATTCACTCGAAATACGCTCATTAATTTTGCACAATGCACGCGGTGCATGCAACCCAGTGTCAAGTTTAAAACTTTAAGGGCCGCAAGCAAGCAACAATAGATTAGTGGGGTTTGCAAAAAACACGCACGGTAAATAATCTACGATTGCTGAACGACGATTAAGTTGCATTTAAAATCAAATGCGGGTAATTTTTAACATTCATGTTCAAAGGTATTTGTATTCGGCACTCGATTTCCTATCTGTTTTGGCAGTTTTCAATCGCCCGACAAACCAAACGGTCATGAAAAACAGCACATTGGGAGCTCCGAGGAATCACAGCAACTATGTGATTCCCGGGGTGTACGACCTGTCTGTCGAGGACACCAACTGGGTCCTGACCTCATCCTTCATCATCTTCACCATGCAAACGGGATTTGGAATGCTGGAGTCCGGTTGTGTGAGCATCAAGAACGAGGTGAACATCATGATGAAGAACGTGATTGACATTGTTCTGGGCGGATTTACTTACTGGCTATTTGGATATGGAATGAGCTTCGGCCGCGGCCCACTCTCCAATCCTTTCATCGCCCTTGGGGACTTCATGCTGGATCCGCCGGTGGGCGATGCCCTGATGGGACAGATCTTTGCCGCATTCCTGTTCCAACTGTCGTTTGCCACGACGGCCACAACGATTGTCAGCGGCGCCATGGCTGAACGGTGGGTAACCACGGTACATCTGTACACGGTTTACCAACTTGTTGTTTATCCTTCCAGTTGCAACTTCAAGGCATACTGCCTGTTCTCCTTCCTGAACACCGTTGTGTACTGTATCCCCGCTGGTTGGGTGTGGGGCGAGCACGGATTCCTCAGCAAGCTGGGCGCTGTGGACATTGCCGGTAGTGGACCAGTGCATCTGATTGGAGGCGCATCCGCTTTCGCGTCGGCCGCCATGTTGGGCCCTAGGCTGGGTCGTTACTCCGAGGGATATGATCCGCTGCCATTGGGCAATCCTGTCAACGCGTGTATGGGTCTATTTGTCCTCTGGTGGGGCTGGTTGGCCTTCAATTCGGGCAGCACCTATGGCGTTAGTGGGTCTAAGTGGCAATACGCGGCTCGAGCCGCTGTTATGACCATGATGGGATCTTTCGGAGGCGGGTTCACCAGCTCCATGTAAGTTAAATCCATTCAGAATGAGCAGCCAACCCAACTACGTATGGGGTTATGTTTCCTCATAGCTATTCGTTTTGGCGCCATGGAGGCGGAATGGACATCATGGATCTAATCAATGGAGTGCTCGGCTCCCTGGTGTCCATAACGGCCGGGTGTTTCCTGTACCGCGCCTGGGAAGCTTTCGTAATCGGAGCCATTGGCTCGCTGTTCTGCGTGCTGGCCATGCCGCTATTTGATCGCATGGGCGTGGATGATCCGGTGGGAGCCAGTGCTGTGCACGGAGTTTGCGGTATCTGGGGCGTGATTGCCGTAGGACTGTTTGCGGATAATCCCATTCCCCTGGACACGACCAACGGACGCAGTGGTCTGTTCAAAGGCGGCGACTGGTATCTCCTGGGCATTCAGACGCTCTCGGCGTTCTGCTTAGCCTGTTGGGGCGTCTGCTCCACCTTCCTGCTACTGTATGTGATCAACAAGATTATACCCATTCGCATGGACCCACACGAGGAGCTGCTGGGCGCCGATCTAACCGAGCACCGGATTCGGCACTCACAAATCGGTTTATCGCGAGCCATCTCAGCTTTGGCGCCCATTAAGGTGGATCTGAAGGATATCGCCGGCATCGAACCCATCGGCATCAATCCTGGCCACGAGCGCAGCATAGATCAGCTGCGAGCGGCAGAGGACAAATTGCAGCAGTGGCAATCCTACCTGGAGCAGGTGAGTGGTTCGCGGGCTAACCCAAAAATGGACGACGGTCAGTCGCACTCCGACATCAACTTCAAGCCCAGGACGGCGGCCAACGTCTTCAACCGTCGAATCCCCGCCCGGAGGAGCATCAGTGGTGGCCTGTACAGATCCAACAACACCGAGTTACCGGTGAAAGGTTCTGTGAACCTACCGCACAAGCCGGAAAAGGATCCCAACTTTGCCTGGGTTGATTAGACCTTTCTAGCAATTCAAGTCACAAATTGTAAGAGATTTCAATGACCCAACCGTAAATTCTGATGAAATCTAGCCACTCAAATTGTTTATTTTTAGATGATTCAGCTACGTCGATTTGATTCGGATATAAAAGTCTGGACGGTTCTTTAACGGAGTGACTAATTGTCTAGTTACCACATAGAGATATTGCCAGTAACGTGGGCGTGGCTGCCCTCTAGGTTATAGCTGTTTGCTCAAATAGATCCCACCCCAAACGGTTTTTAATAAAAAATTCAGGAAGTAAATATATTTCTTCAAAATAATTATGCAAGAAAACTGTATTTGTTTTTCGTTGATAGGATTAGTAGATTTGCTAGCGAAAGCAGTTCCATTTTTATATCAAACACATAAAGCCCCATTATCTCTTATCAACTACTACTTAAATGCTTTATATGTACATAAATACACAGAAAAGATAAGTACACATGCTATCCTCAAGTCCAGAAAACGGCACAGTCGATAAAATCAACATATTTCACAAAGTTCTTTAAACGCTGAAATAAAATCAACTTTGCGCAATGAAACAGCAGCTTTTGCAATTCTCAAATTTATTTATTGAATTCAAGTACAAGCAAATATTGTTTGGATGATCGATCGATGACAATAATATAATATATACTATTATGGAGCAGTGTGTTTGGTTTTGTTCTAGTATGAATTTATAATTTATATAAATGAACTACGGAGCAGTTGTCGTTTGACCCGTTTGTAGTTGAGGGGTGTTCAGTTTTGTTTAATGTTTGGCGAGTTCCTAATTTAGAATCCAAGTTTGTTTAAGCAACTTTTCTACTGTGTTTGGTTGGTAAATTGTTTGGAGAACTGTTACTGTATGGTTGCATTGAAGTGTGGGTGAATGATTTAGTCGACCTCCTCGATGGTGGGGCCAGCACCGCCGGCTCCGGCAGCGCCAGCGGCTCCAGCCGCTCCGGGCATACCTCCGGGACCACCGGGCATGCCACCGGGAGCACCACCGGCGCTCTGGTACAGCTTGGTGATGATTGGGTTGCACACACCCTCCAGTTCCTTCTGGCGGTGCTCGTACTCCTCCTTGTCAGCCAGCTGGTTGGCATCCAGCCACTTGATGGTCTCGTTGCACTTGTCCAGGATGGTGGTGCGGTCAGAGTCCGAGATCTTGGTCTTCAGGTTGTCCTCGTCGAGGGTGGCCTTCATGTTGAAGCAGTACGACTCGAGGCCGTTCTTGGCGGCAATGGTCTCCTTCTGCTTCTCATCCTCGTTGCGGTACTTCTCGGCTTCGTTGACCATGCGCTCGATGTCCTCCTTGGAAAGGCGACCCTTGTCGTTGGTGATGGTGATCTTGTTCTCCTTGTTGGTCGAACGCTCCAGGGCAGTCACGTTGAGGATACCGTTGGCATCAATGTCGAAGGTGACCTCGATCTGGGGCACACCACGAGGTGCGGGGGGAATGCCCGACAGCTCGAACTTGCCGAGCAGGTTATTGTCCTTGGTCATGGCGCGCTCGCCCTCGTACACCTGGATCAGCACACCGGGCTGGTTATCGGAGTAGGTGGTGAAGGTCTGGGTCTGCTTGGTCGGGATGGTGGTGTTACGCTTGATCAGCACACTCATCACACCGCCAGCGGTTTCAATACCCAGGGACAGAGGGGTCACATCGAGCAGCAGCAGATCCTGCACCTCCTGCGACTTGTCGCCGTGCAGAATGGCGGCCTGGACGGCAGCACCGTAGGCCACAGCCTCATCGGGATTGATCGACTTGTTCAGCTCCTTGCCGTTGAACAGATCCTGCAGCAGGCGCTGGACCTTGGGGATACGGGTGGAGCCACCGACCAGCACAATGTCGTGGATGACCGACTTGTCCAGCTTGGCGTCACGCAGAGCCTTCTCCACGGGGTCCATGGTGCTGCGGAACAGATCAGCGTTCAACTCCTCGAAACGGGCACGAGTAATCGAGGTGTAGAAGTCGGTACCCTCGAACAGAGAGTCGATCTCAATGCTAGCCTGGGTGGAGGACGAAAGGGTACGCTTTGCACGCTCGCAAGCGGTGCGCAGACGACGCAGAGCACGCTTGTTGGTGGTCAGATCCTTCTTGTGCTTGCGCTTGAACTCCTGCACAAAGTGGGTGACCAGACGGTTGTCGAAGTCCTCACCACCCAGATGCGTGTCTCCGGCCGTGGACTTGACCTCAAAGATACCGTCATCGATCGACAGGATGGACACATCGAAGGTGCCGCCGCCCAGATCGAAGATGAGCACGTTGCGCTCTCCAACAGCCTTCTTGTCCAGACCGTAAGCGATAGCAGCGGCCGTAGGCTCGTTGATGATGCGCAGCACGTTCAGACCGGCGATGGTGCCGGCGTCCTTGGTCGCCTGACGCTGCGAG